ATAGCAGCCATTGTCGACGCACTACGAGGCGAGCCGAGGCAAATCCGGAGTGCCTGGGACTGAACACTCTGTAGCGTTCGAAGGCTTGTTTTGCGTGCATTGGTCAATGCCGGTAAACTGTACCGCAGAAAACCGAGAAAAAGTACTCTGTACAGCTGTAGCATTGCACTGGGAGACATTCCCCAAGTCTTCCCTGCAAAGAACTTCAGTATATTACAGATGTCCATTAACCGTTTCTTCATGTACGAAACGTGATCGCTCCATGATAGATTCCTGTCAATTATGACGCCCAAAAACTTGTGCGATCGAACGTATGGTACAGTTTGACCATTGATGCTTATAGTGTACTTATCCATAGGCTTTCGTGTAAAAACTACGAGGGCGCATTTCTCGGAAGAAATTTCCAAGCCTCGATTTCGTAGGTAGCGTAATGTTTCAGTGGCAGCTTTTTGAATTGTCCCTCGTAACTGCAGGCGTGTTATAGCCGATGCCCAAACGCAGATATCATCTGCGTACATTAATAGCCTGACCATGCTTGGCAGATGCTCAGTGAAAGCAATTAACGTAAGAATGAACAGCACAGGGCTGAGTACGCCACCCTGGGGGACGCCGCAGTGGCTGTAATGTGGATAGATTGGACCGTCTTCAGTGCTGACAAAGAAGGATTGCATGGACAAATAACTACGTATCCAGCGATACATCCGACCACCTACTCCTATATCTTCGAGAGCGGTGAGAACAGCTTCATGCGTAACGTTGTCATACGCCCCTTTAACGTCTAGGAACAAAGATGCGCAGAGACGCTTACGGCCTTTCTCGTGTTGGACGTAAGTGACCAGGTCGACTACGTTGTTAATCGATGCTAGACCACGTCGAAAACCTGCCATGGCATCTGGGTAGATGTTGTTACACTCCAAGAACCACTCCAGGCGTCCCAGGATCAATGTCCTTATGCACTTTCCTCCTACAGACCAATCGCCTTAGCCAGCTGCGTCGGGAAAGCAATGGAAAGAATGGTACTGTCAATATTAGAGTAGCTTCTAGAGAGCAACAACTCCTTTCCTGCATTTATGAACAACATCAGAAGAGGCCGATCTGCCATTGACAGTGTGGTCGACTTGATCACCAGCGTTGAAGAGGAAAGAAGCCGACACAGACTAGTGGCGGCGGTCTTCCTAGACATTAAGGGTGCCTACGATAATGTGCTGCATTATGCGATCCTTGACGCACTGGAAAATTTCGACATCGGTGGACGACTGTATGCTTGGATTTTTAGCTACCTTAGTGACCGCGCCGTTTACATGACGATAAATAGCGGAGACACCAATCGATATAAGGTTCATCGCGGTGTTCCCCGAGGAGGAGTTCTCAGCCCGATTTCATTCAATGTCGCAATGATCGGCCTAGCAGCAGAACGGTGAATCAGTGCATACGCTGACGACATATGCATATGGGCATCCGGAACTACTCGTCCGCAATTCCGAGCTCGACTACAGCGTGCAGTGACGATCACATACAAATATCTACGACGTCAGGGGCTCACTCTTTCAATCGACAAATGTGCAGTGCTTGCGTTCCCGCGTAAGCATATGTCGCAATACCCAATATTTATTAATGGGAAAGCCATACCTGCTGTAACGCACCACAAGTTTCTTGGGGTTGTCGTACACAGAGATCTATGGTGGACGAGACATGTCGCAGTACCTACTTAAATCTAAATTGAAGAGCTTTGCTCTCGTTCTTCGCCACGTGGCAGGAGCAAGATGGGGCCCGTCAGAATCATCGCTACTTCAATTATACAATGCTCTACTTGTGGGATACATTCGATACAGGCTGCAGGTGCTCTCCAATATGAGACCTAGTTGTGTGAAGAAGCCAGAGGGTGTTCAAGCTCAATGCTTAAGAAGATGCTTGGGTCTACCGCGCCGTACTTCAACAAATGGGACAATCGCAGAGGCTCGGGCTTGTCCCGTCAGTGTATACATGCTCTGCGAGCCACTTAGAGTTCACCTTCGATTGCTGAGCCGACATAGACAGCACCCATAAGCACTACCCGCCACTCACCCAGAGTGCAGTTTCTCAAGAGTAATGTCGCGGCATGAGAATATTCTACCATGAAGCATTTCCCTGCCGAATGTTCCTGCGTTGCCTCCACGGGTTCTGGCTAAACCACTTGTTTGTCTTACGATACCTGGAATTACAAAGAAGTCGCTCGTTTCTTCTGTTGGCCTCATATAACTGACCTTACATAACATTTATACAACGTATGGTGATTCTCTGCACGTGTACACCGACGAGTCCACTACACTAAACACCTCCGCCGCAGCCTTTGTCATCCCAGACATGGACATCGCTCGACGATTCAAAGTTGCCTATAAAACCACATCAACCGCCGCAGAGCTTGTCGCTATCCGGGAGACAATAAGATTTATTTCCGGAGAGCAACCTCGAGCCTGGACGATTTTCTGTGATGTCAAACCCACTTTGCAAACCATTAATTGCATCATGAAGCAAGGTCCATATTACAGCTTGGCAATAGAAATCGCAGAACTTATTCAGGTTGCTTCAACAAATGGCCATCTTATAACTTTCCAGTGGATTTCCGCTCATTGCGGCGTGATGGGAAACGAAGAGGCAGACGCTCAAGCTAAAAATGCCTTAAGCAGTGCCCCTGAAGTACGCATGGCGTTTTCACGAGCTGACACGAGCGCCCTGCTTCGCTGCGTGATGCGCAGCTACACACTTCAGCACTGGACCAAACCGGAACGGCGACACCGGCGACTTCACAAATGGGACCCGGAAATGAGGTTCCGCATGCCCCCTAAATTGAAACGGCAACTCACAAGTATGATCCACCGCATTCGTCTTGGTGTGGCGTACACCAGACGTTACGCACATATCATCGGTCGCAGTGACACCGGTCCTAATTGTGATCACTCTGATGTGCCAGAAACACTTGAGCACATATTTTGTGTCTTCCCAGCATACGCACGAGAACGACAAACGCTGATTTCTTCTACTAAACGATATCACAGTAAATCATTAACTGATGAGACCGTGTTGGGCCCTTCGCCAGACACCAACAGTGCAACTGTGGTCATAAGAGGGGTTATAACCTTTTTGGAAGCAACTCGACTATATGTGCGGCTATAAAATTTGTCTCAGCTAAAAAGAATTCACATACTCACCTCTCTATCTCACCATCGACCTCCATTAGTCTTTCTTCTCCCCTTTCCTCTCCCCCAGTGTAGAGTAGCAGGCTAAAGCAAGCTATCGCTCAGGCCGACCTCTCTGCCTTTCCGTAAATAATTTCTCTCTCTCTCTCTCTCTCTCTCTCTCTCTCTCGAGAGAGAGAGAGAGAGAGAGAGAGAGAGAGAGAGAGAGAGAGGGGGGGGGGGGGGGGCATGGCTTTGCGGTGGAACACCTAGCTTGCAAGGCATAAGCATCCTTAGTTTGATTCTCACTATAACCGAAAACTTTTGTTATTCACTTTATTTGCCTCTTTCACAACCAATGACGCCGACACCGGAATTCCTGCGGAACGGGCTCTTTAACGCTAACGCGTATATAAATCATTACATTAGAAGCAAGGGTGCGCATTCTTTATCTTTCGCGGCTGTTACACCGAAACGTTGAGTTTTGATTCATGACCGAACAAGCCACCACCCTTACCCCGAAAATTGCTGGGTTATTGTTCACGAGGGGGGAGGGGCGCTTGATCGAAGATGGTGGGATTGTGATTGTGAAGAAGAAGAAGAAGAAGAAGAAGAAGAAGAAGAAGAAGAAGAAGAAGAAGAAGAAGAAGAAGAAGAAGAAGAAGGAGGAGGAGGTACACAGCAGACCTCGCAGCAAAGCTGTAACGAGGTTACAGCTTTGCGCTGTAACCTCGTTAGATTGATTCCGCTTTATACGTCAAAAGAATACGCTGACCTGCAAATCCACTGATAAAGGAGAAAATGCCCTACCTCTTCATTCTGAAACAACAAACATGTAGTAGCTAGCAGTAGGGATTGTTTATTTGGAGGGAACGGAACGACAATTCGTGCCGATTGCCATTATGCAACTTTCCAGCTCAATAATATCGCACGTACTCACTGTAACACTCTTCAATCCCGAACATCTTTTTGCAAGAAAACATATTTCATACCTTTTACTGAGCTATGTTGAAGATTGGTTGAAGCACGACCTACTCGACTCCTGACCTGCCCATAGAGGCTCCTCTCCGGCGCCCACGTTCTAGTTCATACATTCTTCCGCTAGGGCTGTACTATACGAGTGGCGTGGCGCTAGTCAACACCTGTTGGCTGACGTTACCTTTACTGTTTGTTGTCAAATTTCGACCAACAAAGCACTATAGTGCGTATTTATTATGCACAATTTAAAATTATTCAGAAATATATATACTAAAATTTATTCAATTTTTTTTGCAATCAAATGAACGCGACAACACATAGGCTGTCCTACACCATGCAAACCTGCGGGTTCCCACGTTTGTCAACCAGTGTGCTATAAATACTTAAGCGCACTGAACAGCTTACGTGACCAACAATCGAAGTGAAGAAATAGTCACATATATGCTGGCAGTTCACCACAGAATGCAGGCATTATTATTCTAGCACCGTCAAAACAACCGTAAAGTAGCAGACAAACAGATTATAGGTAGCGTCATCAATGGTGAGCGGGGATACGCGTTTCCATAAGAACTATGCTAAGCACGTCAGGAGCACGTCAGGAGTCAGGGTCGTGGTACCTTTCCTTCCTCCGTGTGTTACAGTGTACCACGGAGGAAGGAAAAGGTTTTTTTCATTCCTCCGTGCAGTGTACTAATCGTGGGTTGGGAACCTGGAGCATCGCAGTTGGCGTCTGTGGGATTATTGCAGTTTTTTTGTTGGCAACTTTGGGCAGCCCGCATACTTCGCGCCTCTCCGTCGCGGCAACTTTGGACGACTTATCGTAGCTTGTTTATATTCCTTACTCTGTGGTGTTGCGGTGATGTTTGGTGATCCCTTGCTTTAGGCACACTATGCAACATTTCGGAGTGGTGCGGTAGCTTCTTGTCTTTTCCTTTATCAAGTTTCGACCTGCGCAGGTCCACACTTGTTTGCATTTCGTCTGACAGCGCTTGCGAGCTCCTTCAGCGGGACAGTTTAAGTTAGCACGAGACAACGAGACATCGCAAAGGGGATGTGTGATCGCAAACGCGATATCAAGCATTAGCAATCGTTGCGCATGCACATACGCGTGTCAACCGCAGACATGAGTCACGATGATGTTCGAAACCAACCGCGGTTCCGCATGTATGACGACGACGACGGACACAAGTCCCTGTTCGAGGCTTTTGTGTCGCACACGGCTAAAGGTATGACGATTACGGACCTCGCACAATTTTTGTTAACGCTAGATTCGAGAAGTCTGCGCAGCTTCACGAGTTCAATATTAAAAGACTGGGGTGCGAGAACTCGAACACGAGAGACAAGTCACGACAACGCGACCGGCGTTAGTGTTGTCCTGACTGTGGTATCCTGACCTCATGCGTTCTAAAGTGTCCGCTGTGTGTGTGGTGAGGGGGGGGGGGGGGGGGGGGGGTGAAGCTTAAAAGGAAACAAGCTTTGCCGTGGCTGCAAACCAAAAATGAAGTGATGGCGTGTTTCCCATCGCGGTCTGCGTTTAGTCCCCAGCGTTACGAGGGTGAAAATTGGAACTAAACAGCTCCTGGAATGCAACGTCAAGGGTCTTCGGCTGCCATTATCGTCGAAAATCTGCAGGGTTATTTCCTTTCACATAAAACTATTGTTACTCGTAACAATATTGTTACTGTAACAACAATGATGGGGGATTTCATGCTAAGTTTAAGTATACAGCAGGCACGGCACCCCACACAGAGGAATGGGGGGAGGGAGGGAGGGAGAATAGCTTCCCTACTCCCTCGTGCAACTTCACGCTTGTGTGCGTGTTTGGACACCCCATCTTTTACCATGATTTCTTACCAGCTAACTTCATATCGTGCTTTTGGGATAAAAAAAAAAACCAAAATATTATTATTACCAACTCGAGAGGTAACAGGTTTCTGTTACCTCTCGAATTCTTATGTAACCAATAATATTATTTTACAGACTTGGGCCCAATAGATGAGAACTGGTTTTTCAAGGAGCGAGCTTCCCAAATATCAAAGTGCAGCCAGTTCGGGAGCAGCAGCAGTGTGTCATCAAACCCCTGCACTCCGGTCACGTCTTCGTGCTTGTCTCGAAACGAAAATGAGACACCAGCTTCTTCCACAAATACTCCAGCATCCATCTGCCAGCGTAATGCCAGCTTCCTCGAGTGGACTCCCCTTTCGCCTTCTCCAGTTGTGTAAGTTTCTCAACCATTGGCACTTGGTGTAGGAGGCGCAGTCAAAGGAAACTTTATCTGCATGTCGCTACAGTCGACACAGAGTGACGGTGGAAATCTAGACTTTGAAGTAGTCACATATTTCTCCCATAATATGCAATGTGTTAGCACTCACAACTCTTTTAAAAAATATTGTTGTAAGCATTGTTGTAAGCATTGGTATGCATGAAGCATTTTTGTTTGTTTTTTCTGCATCTGTCTGTTGCACTTAGCAATTTTGCTAGGGTATTTTTTTATTTTCAGTCACATACCAGAACACTAAGGTCTTTGCAGAATAGTGGTCATTGTGATTGATTTCGTTGCTTACTTGAGCAACTTGCATCACTTTAATATATGCAGGCCAAGTGCATTCAAAACCCCGCGAGTGCCAAAATCTTTTCCACAAACCCTTGCGATAACTAAGAACACACCAAGCCCTCTATGGTCACCCTCTTTGGAAACACCACCTCTCCGTACTGCTCGTAAGTTGTACACCTACCTTCTTTATTGGCTGCCATTGTTGAGCTTCAATGTGTTAATTTTTGTGTGCCTATGCTTTTTCAGGAAGCAAACAAGACTTGAAAGTAGTAAGTACAGCAAAATTAATTATTTTGCAACAGCTGCAAGCTGACTGCCTGTGACAAGGCTTTTGAAAGTCTGTCTTACAATGATTGCGTTTTCTCAAATTTTCTCTCCTTTTTAAGTGATACTGTACAAACCACATCCACATAATTTGTCATCAATGATTTGTAATGGAAGCTTTTGTAACAAGATTTTACAGGTGTGCTATAGAGTTTTGTGCATATTCGGCACCAAAAAGTGTGTTTCAATTAAGCTCATTGTTGTTTAATGCTGCCATCAGTTTCGGACAGGCAACACTGCTGACAATAAGCTTGCATTGTGTATTTGTGAACTTCACAATTTGAATTTTGTTATATATTAGTGCCATATTTAATGCTGATAATAATGTGCCTGCCCTGGATTCCTTTGTTGACATCCCTTTTCTTGCAACCTATAGCATTAGTAACATCACATATGCTTTTTAAATGAGATCAAGTCTTTGGTGGCAGGTTTGAATATGTGCAAGAATTAGTTCAGCAGAGCTAGCCTCGGACATTTAAGTAATGCCATAAAATTGAAGACCATCATCAGTAAGATTGCAAACAAACTTGTTCTGGTGTCCCAAAGTCATCCGCAATTCTTAATGGGTTTACGTGTTTCTTTTTAAAAATCTACAGTTTGCTCCAAGGAACTTGTTTCATCCGCCAAGAAAAAGCCGGCAAAGTCTGTCATCTGAAAATGAAGACAATTTAGAAGATGAAAATTCAAAGACGTTTTATCTGACAGAGAAGAGAACATTGACTCGGTACATTGTGGCTCCAAAAAAGATGTGCCCCTTCGTAAGTTGGAGATGCAGAGTAACGACCTTGGTGCTGAAGACAGTTTCCAAAAGCATGTTGAAGGTTGTTGCGAAATTCCACAAGTCGACTCAACACATAGAGGCCAGAATTATGTGAAAGTGACTCCCAAGAGGCGTGGCTCTCCTGATGCTTCGAGGTCACGTGATGTTGGAGCCAGAATAGAAAAAAGAGCTAACTTTGTCAATCCGTATGATCGCACTGCTCGTATAAAGCATCACTTGAAAGAGAATGGGACTCCTCACATTCACGTACCTGACATGACTGTCATCCCAAACCAAGCTCCTTCTCTCTGCCAGCCAAAGGAGTTCTTAAGACCTAATTCAAAGTTAGAGAACGTGTCAGCTGTTTCATCAGTGGTTTTGAGAACTGCTGTGACAAGTCCTCACACTGTAGCTGGGACTGACTCTAGCCCGCGTAGCAAGTTATTTAGCAGCACATCAAAGGAATTCTCGTTTTCTGAAGACAAGAGCGATGGTGTTTTTGAACGAGCCGAACTCTCGCTCACCCAGATGTTCGAAGTGGCTGAAAGCACAATTGCTTGTATAGAGGCAGCTGATATGGGGTTCACCCAATGTATGTCTTCGGGAAGTGAAGCTGTGTTGGCCAGTGATCCTGGCAGCATCACTAACGATGCCAAATCGAAAACTCGTGAAGGTGAAGATAATCAGTCACCAGGCATGCAGCTACCACCATTGTGCTCTAGGGCCACTCATGGCAGCCAATTGGCATTATCCGTGAAACGGAATAAAGATTTTAATTATATTGATGTCAATGACAAGCCTCACACTATGGGTGCCACTGCTAGAAATGTCACCATTTCATCTGGCTTTAAAACCAGGCCTGGAAAACTAGAATCATCACTCAGTTCTGCTAAAGCAATGCCTGCAATGTGTGATGAAGCAATTAATTACAAAAATATGGAGCCACTGAAGGCCAGCTCTGTTGGAAGCTCAGCAAACCACTGCGACAGAGGAAACCGGCAAGAACCGGCATATATTCAACAAACGGGTGACATGACAGCTCAACCATGTTCTGAAGCTAGATCCAAACAGCCAAGTAAGGAATCAGTAGGAAATCCTGCACCAGTGCTTTCTTATGCTGGTGGAAATTCAGTAAAGGACTCTAATGTTACTTTAATGAAACCAAGAGCTCAACCAGGTGCAATTATATCAGGCTTTGTGACAGCTAGAGGGAAGCCTGTGTACGTGCAGGAGCAAGCACTCAACCTCGCTCATAAGTTTCTCGCTGACGGTCCTACAACGCTGGTGCAGCCAGTGACAAACGACAGCAATGTGCCAACATTCTTCACAACTGGAATGGGAAAAACAGTGACAGTCTCGGTTGACTCACTGAAACAGTCAAAAAGAGAGCACGGCTCATTTAAATCTGGTTTTACCACAGCAGGAGGCAAACCTGTCTACGTGCAAGAGGATGGCATTGATCGTGCTCGCCAATTTCTTTCTGAAGCTGGTTGGAACACCCCAGGAGAAGAATTAGCGACAGATTCTCTGCCTTTGCTGCCAACTGGTGGTGATGGAAAGACAATGAAAGCCTTTGGTGACTCAGTAACGAAGCCTAAATGTCAGTCTGGTACAGTCACATCTGGCTTCATTACTGCTGGAGGAAAGCCAGTGCATGTGCAAGAAGAAGCACTCAGCCACTCTAAACAGCTTTTCGCTGAAGCTTCATCAGATTTACCCCAGAAACTGCAGCCGTCATCGTTTAGAACTGGCACACGAAAAGCAGTGACTGCATCAGTTGACTCATTGGAGAAATCAAAGGAGCAGCATGGCTCACTTAAATCGGGTTTCAAGACAGCAGCAGGTAAGGCTCTCTACATACAAGAAGAAGGCCTCAATCATGCTCGTTGCTTACTCCGTGATGACATTTGTAGGGTGCCAGGTGAAAAATCCCAAGAAAATGCTGTATCTACGCCTCTTGCTGGTAGTGAAGAAAAGGTTGCAAAGGACAGGGTTAACTCGAAAACAAAGCCAACGGCCCAGCCTGGCACACTCACTTCAGGCTTTGCAACTGCTGGCGGGAAGCCTGTGTATGTGCAAAAAAAATCACTCGGCCACTCTAAACAGCTTTTCGCTGAAGCTCCATCAGATTTACCCAAGAAACTGCAGCCGTCATCCTTCACAACTGGCACGCGAAAGGCAGTGACTGTATCAGTTGACTCATTGGAGAAATCGAAAGAGCAGCATAGCTCACTTAAATCGGGTTTCAAGACAGCAGCAGGTAAGGCTGTCTACATACAAGAAGAAGGCCTTAGTCATGCTTGCCACTTGCTCCGTGATGACATTTGTGGGGTGCCAAGCGAAAAATCCCAAGAAAATGCTGTATTTACGCCTCTTGCTGGTTGTGCAGAAAATGTTGCAAAGGACAGGATGAACTCGCAAACAAAGCTAACGGCCCAGCCTGGCACACTCGCGTCAGGCTTTGCGACTGCTGGCGGGAAGCCTGTGTATGTGCAAGAAGAAGCACTCACTCGTGCTCGGCAGCTTTCCTCTGAATGCCCCACAGCTTCATCCAGAGCTGTTGTGCAGGATAACCGTGTACCAACACTTTTCACAACTGGCACAGGAAAAGCAGTGACTGTCTCGGTTGACTCTTTGGCGAATTCAAAGGAACAGCACAGCTCTCTGACATCAGGTTTTGCGTCAAGCGAAGGCGAGCCTGTACATGTTAAAGAAGAATCTGTTAGTCACGCCCATCAACTTCGCTCTGAAGCTCACACCAATGTGGATGACAGAATTTCACAGCAGAACGCGATCCCCACATTTTTCACTACTGGTTCTGGAAAGAAACTTCAGGTTTCGGCAGAGTCATTGAAAGCGGCTGAAGTGCTTTTCGATAAAAAGAGGGACGGTCTGCTGACTGCTCCTGCAGAGGCTAACTCTAAAGAGAACAAAGTCCCCACAAGACCCGCTAACCCAGAAAATTCCTGCCATGTTCTTACCAGCTTCAAGACAGGATCAGAAAAGGCAGTTTCTGTTTCAAAGAAATCACTGTCAAGTGCTAGAACTACTCTCAATGTTGATGGCACTGACACATCCTCCGGAGGGGGCCTTCATGGATCTGATAGAAGAAGTGACCCAGCTGTATTAAGTGGAGGTGAAAGCAATCGAAAGCCCCCTGCCCTTGTCAGCATAATGTCAGATGGCACCAAGAAGACGCAGGAATCATTCGAGCCTAACCAAAAGCTTCTGAATCAAGACGCGAAGAATTCCACTCCTTCCACTGACAAAGGCCACTCGGCTGTGGACACTGGAACACATCAGGTGCCATCAGAGAAAAGGACGCCAGCGTCCGCTCCAGGCAGATTCAGCCATGCCGGAACGCCCATGTTTACTTCAAAGATGAAGTCTGCATCTAAGACAAGCTTTGTTACGCCATTCAAGGCAGTTGTTTTGGGCAAGGCGCAGACACCCAAGGCTGCACCAATAATTATCTGTGGTCCACGCACGTTGTTTGTGGACAAGTCAATTCGGCCCGGAAAGCTCTGGATCCTAAGAAGAGTTATGAAGGCCACTCGGCTGTCTCTTCGAGATACGCTGCAGGGCCAGCACCCGAAGTTCTACTCATTGGATCAGGTAAGTTTTCTTTAATCTCATACCTTTAAAATGTAAGGTGGTCAGGTGTTTTCACAGTGCAGTTTACCAACTATAAAATTAGGTTAGGGTTGTGTGCTGTTGCCTTTGATAAAACCATTTCCCTCTGGGCTTTCACCTCCAATTGAAGTACTATTCTTTATGTTTGGATTAGCTGTGTAAACCAACAGAACAGAGAGACAACATACTAACTATGGTGCTGTCAAAAATAAATTCATGATGCAAATATAAAAGGCAAATATGAACTTAAGTGCCATGCTGCTATAGCACCTATCATTCCATTCCTTTCTTTGGGTAATGAGAGCATGGGGTGTAATGTAAAGCTTAGGGCATGGTTTGGCACAGTACTCATATTACACATTAAAGGTCTATAACGACACATTTTCATACATTTATTGTATTGCCTTAAATATTGTTTTACTTGTTCTTGTGGTATGCTTTAGACTCTGTCAATAATTACATTAGTACCACTTTTTTCAATTCTCTAAAGCACCTGTGCAGTTGCTACAGTTAGCGTGTGTTTATGTGGTTTAATACTGCTTGTAGCATTATGCTTGACTCATTGTCTTCTACATCTTTCTTTTTAACCCTACCAAGCAAATGAGAATTACTTGCTTAGTGTTGTGTTGTTTAAAATTGTATCAGCTAACGTAATTTCACACTATCCCTATATCATAAACATTATAATGTTAGCACATTTGCAGGGTCACTGCTCTTGTAACGGTTGACTGTTCAATAAATCGTTCTTTTTTCAGTTGAAAGGCTACGGTGTGCTGGATTCAACTACCACTATCAATTCCCTAAATGCCGCTGACTTTGTTTTCTATATCTCTTCCTCAAACCCCCTTCTTATATTGGGAGATGGAGCCACCATGCAGCTGGAGTCCACAGAGGCATATTTGGGAAAGGATGAATTCAGCAGGTGATCTTGCATTGTTCCCTCCCTTAAGCAGGTCTATTGTCTTAAGAAGGCTTTGCAGTTATGAATAGGTTCACGTTTGACATTAGAACAGCAGAAAATCACTTCACTCACAGAATTCCTTATAAGAAAAGCTTTATGTTATAGCTTGCTCCTAGTCCCAAAACCAACGATTTCTTTGGGTTTAACTATGCTTTTTATATGTTAGTGGTATAAATACAGTAGGCTGGGTCTCTTATAGGAGTATGGTAGAGGTGAGCATTAACCACAGGTACATTGATAAATTTTCTTTTGCCCGAGAAGCTTTCACAAGCAAAAACATTACAACCTACTGTGAGCTAGCGCCACCGCCTTTTCAAACAGAGGGAAACAGTGCCAGAACATGCCTATCATGTTATCGTTTGTTGCAGTGCCTTTTTCAAAATGCCTGGTGTGAACACTACCCTGGTTCCTAAGGGATGGCTGGAAAATCATTACCGCTGGATTGTGTGGAAGTTGGCATCCATGGAGCTGCACTGCCCTCAGGTGTTTGGAGGAAGGTAGGCCAGCCATGATAGCTATTCTTTATTGTTGCAGGAAGCGTCTGGTTTATGCTTCATTAATCTTTTTAGTTAAATAACAAGGGCCCCAATTCGGGAACTTGGCACCACAAAAGACATGACAGTGTAGAACTAGTGCGCAAAGAAGACGGAGGTAGTGCACATAGTACTGTGCTACTTTATTGCCTTGCTACTATGAAAGTGCCTCTGTACTGCCTTTCTGTTATCAAACTATGTGCATATATTTATTTAATTTTATGTGAAATGAAGTTTATTATTTGTGCATGTATTTATATATTTAATCTTATGTGCTGTGAAGTTTATTACAATGCTAAAACGTAACAACCAAGTGTTTATAAAGGTTTCACTTTAACAGTGTTTGCAGCCAGAAGTACCACTTCTTTAACTCAACTTTTCATCTGCATTATAAGTGCCCTATGTCAATCGGGGAAACTCTTGCCACTCTTTACTTTTTTTAACTTTTTTTTTCTCAGGTCACTGACACCTGACCAAGTAATGCTTCAGCTGAAATACAGATATGATATTGAAATTGACAACAGCTGCCGGTAAGGTTTTGTCATCGTTGTTCCCTGTGCTACAGCTTCACGGGCGTCGGCAGGGGGTGCAAAGGGGGCACTTGCCCCCCTCAAGCATCATCAGCAATTGCCGTCACCCAGGCTACACCAATGCTTTCTCCCGCCCCCAACCGCGATGCAACACTAGTTTGCACCCCCCCCCCCCCCCACCCCCCCGAGAGAAAAATCCTGCCAACGACCATGTACAGCTTGGTTTGGTGTTGGTTTGCCTTCTCCATACGCCATATTGGTTTGAGTGTGTTTGACCAGCGGTGACCTCGTTTTGGTTAGCTGTGATGCGAGAATTTTGTTTTCAAACAACAGGGTTCGGCTAATTCGAACAAATTTGAAAAACCCCGCCAGCTTATTACGTACTGAATATGGTTCCTGGTTTCTGAAGTTTTCGGTTAACCTGAATTCCTTGATCCCCAGACGCAGGATGTTCATGTGCCACGAGAGGCTTAAACATTCATGTTTTATATTGAAGCTGTCGTTTGTTTGCACGTAATTGAACTGTAGTATGTGTGAGTAATGCATGTAATCAGATATGCATCATACAGCCTTGTTCATGCTCATGCCTCTGACAAATTATGAGCCTGTGCATATGCAGCTGGGTACTACAAAGTGCCAAAATCTAAAAAAAAAAATGAGCATCACATTTGCATTCGAGCCCTGCAAAAGTAAAAACCACTTCATGAATGTGATTTTCTTTTCTTTATTTTTTGTGTATAGCAGAAAGCAGTTGTGGTTAATGTTCCGGCTGACACATTTTCAGGAGCCATTGTTTGAACTCATTGTGCCGTGCCGTGTGTACTTGTGTATCTGCTCGTATTATTTCTCGATTGCATGCCTATTTGCATGCAACAAGGCATGAATAGCTGATCAGTTCAGCTCTAGAATTTATAAATGTTGGCATAGTAGTGGTCCTTGCATTTTAATGGGAGGGGTCTGCATGTACTGATCAAACACAGTTTCAGTGAAACCGCTGTAAAGATTGATACAATGTATGTGGAGTGTGGAACACGCATGCACATATGCTTTTTCTACAGGTCAGCACTTCGAAAAATTTACGAGAGAGATGATGTCCCAAGCAAGACGTTGGTGCTGTGTGTATCGGCGTTGGAGCACAAGGGAGATGGTGTAAGTGGCCTGTGCAATCTTCCTGTATTAATTAACACCCACTGTAAACACAGTGTGCTGAAATTGTGTCATTTCGTTTTTATTTGTCAGAAAGATTAGATTTGAAGAAAATGTATATGTACCATTGCTAAAATCTCTTTTAAAAAATGCTTTGTGCTCTAGAAGACTTCCTTACCGTGCTGAACCATTCTCTATGTATAGGCTTAAGGGATGATGTATATGCAGTTTTACACAGCTCCAATTTCTTTTTGACTTAAAATTGGCATTGCTTTATTGAAAAAACCTCTTCCTAATGAAGCCCTGTAACACTTCTTCAGCATGATCACATAACACTGCCAATCGGTAGTCGAGGTTCCTGAGAACGTGCAAGCCAAATTTTATAGCGCAGCACACGGCCAGGAATGTTTAACTAATTCTCAGTCAGCTAGAAATTGTTCCTTCTTCATTCTACGAAGGATGCCATACAACCAAATTTCCCGGCCATTGGCTGATTGAGCATTGCAATGTGTTAGAATGGCTGCCAAGGGCCGTGTGTGCACTCGCAATCATATTGAGAGCAAAGCACCGTGCATTCGAAGAAAAAGTGTTCAAAGAAATGACACGTGTGTGACATAACTTCTTTCCCTCGTGCCACCCTTCTCTTCTTAGCTTCCAGCCCGCTCACTGGGACAAAAAAAAGATTGCAACATGCGACAAATCTCTGTAGCTCGGCTCACACTTGACGGATTCTGAAAAATTTTGCGGTGGCTCATTTTTGAGGCAGTAAACTTCTTTAATGAAGCCAGTCGGTGGTTTCTTGGAAAACTGTTGCAGGGCCCTTTTAAAATAATGCATGCCTTATAGTAGATATCTTGCAGTTTTCACGCAAGAGTGACTCTTAGCTTTAGTGGCTACCTTAAAAAAGGGGGCACCTAAGACAAGACATATTCCTTGTCTGTTCATCTCTTGTTTTATTTATTTCCTAAATGACAGAATTAACCAGCCAGCTCAAACAGAATTTTTATTGCTACCTGTAGGCTGTACAGTTGGAACTTACTGACGGCTGGTATAGCATCCGTGCCGAGTTGGATGAACCTCTGTTGAGACTAGCTTCTACGGGACGTCTCTTTGTTGGCCTCAAGCTTCTGACGTCGGGGGCCGAGCTTGTGGGCTCCGCCGAGGCGTGCACGCCGCTTGAGGTATGTCTTGGCACCATGACATTTTCAAACATCTCTTGTCAAACAAGGTTGCGCTTGCATACTTCCCCCTGCTTTGTGTCAAGTTGTGCAAGTGAGAACAATTTATGCTGTAAGTTTGCAGTATGTCCCCAGCAGCATGCACGAAAATGTACTATCGGCGTCAAATGAAACGCAAGGAGCGGAGTGCGTGGCCCAAGCATTATTAACGGTATAGTGCACTCTGTCCAGTCATCACCATTGACAGGTGCGCACGTCCAGTTTGACAGCACTGCACAATCCCCCTATGATGCAATATTTTCGCTTGTGTCCTAGTTCTAATATACCAATAAAAGGGATCAGTGTGGACGTGCTGAGTGCTTTTGGTCATTTCACTTCTATGAATTTTTGTTGTCCTCATTTTAAATCTCATAAGTAAAAATGTCGGACTGTAAGGAAATCGTGCAGTGCTGCCGGACCAGATGTGCAGAGCGAACTTGTTTATGATGATGACTGGAGGGCACACACTACACCTTCTTTAATGCTTACGGCACACGCTCTGCTGTTTGCGTTTCATTTGATGCCGATTGTCTTGTGTTATACAGTTAGGGGGAGGCACTGGCTATCTGGGTCAAAATATTGTCGAAAAATAAACTTTCTGGTACTATGTTTTTTGCATTATTGACATCCAAGAGGATCTATTGTTACAATAATGATGCTTTCTGATGAGTGCCTATTTTTGTTATTGCGACCTAAATTCGGCTTCACGGCTGTTTTCAGTTGCTAATAACGCCCCCCTGAAAATAGGTACTTTTCTCCCACAAGCTGGGCTGTTTCCGTCATTATATTCTGATTTAGAAGTCAGATTTCAGTTATTATTGTTGCAGTCAACTGCTCATAATTACCTACACACAATAAAGCTAACAAATTATAATATTCTTTATGAAAAGAGTTTTTTATTTGGCAATACAACTCTAAAAAATTCTGGGTTTTCCAAACACCACATTGCACATAACAGTAACTATACGAACAGAGGTAAATTAGGTGTAATGGTCTAGTTGTGATCTCTGGTAGTACTACATAATGCTTGTATAAATTTTTCTGGGATATTCAGTGATCATACTATTGCAGAAAGTTAGGGCAAGCAGACTTTTTTGTTATATCCTGATTATCTAAGAAACAAGTACTTCAGATTGGAGAAAATGAACTGCATATCTTTTTCTAGCAAGCAAAACTATATATTGCCTGAAAGTTATATTTATATATAATATAAATTAACATCTTTTTTTTAGGTCAGGAACGAGTAAATGATAGTAAAAAAAATGCTAAATATTGTGGCTATCTGTGCTGTGGTTTTTAGGATCGCATGCTCTTGCTTTTTTTCTAATGGGACTAAAAGCAGCACGGCGACTTTTCATCTAATTTCACCCAGGCTTCCTCAGATGCTGCATTAAAGCTGAGTTACAATTCCACACGGCGTGCACGCTGGGACGCTCGGCTGGGTTACTACGCGCAACCGAAGCCATTCCCTGTCTCCCTTGCCTCTCTGCATCCCAAAGGTGGCCTCGTTGGAAGGGTGGATTGCCTGGTCATCCGGGCCTATCCTGTAATGGTCAGTCTCCCCTGCAGTTCACTAGTGTCCACATATTTGCGCACACTTTGAAAAGCTGCGTGCACATAGTGTTAGGCTTTTTCAACACTTCACACCAGGTCCTATCTGTGACATGCTGTAAATTTGCTATGAGAGATTCAAAATACTTTTTGCCTGTTTGATCACAGTACCTGGAAATGCTGCCAAATAAAATGGGTGTGATGAGACATGAAAAGGAAGAGCTGATAGTCGCTGCAAAGCACGAAAAAGTCCGAACCGCTTTCATCGAAAAAATGACTGCCGAGGTTCTCTCTCAGGTGGAGAAATCTGACAGTAAGTATATTGTTGCCTTTCGTCGCGATTCGTGCTATGTTCTTGCATCTTTCGACATTGCCACTACTGGTTCACATTTCATTTTACGTTTAAATTTCGAAATGAAGTGCACTCAAAATAGTACAACCAAGTAGCAACAGTGTCATTACCTGTTGAAATGTTACACCTGAAGCCTCACGTGCAGTGTGAGTAATCTGCATACTTAAATAGGTATTCTCTGGAAGCATGACAGTAAGTCATTACCAGTTTGCTTGCCGCATCTTCAGTATGTCTTTTTTCTCCTAGTCAAGATGGCAATTCAAGATCATAAAACGCTTCACTGGCACATTCTTTTATCTCCTCTATTATTTCATACGCGTGGTTACGTTGACATGCTGTTGGTAAAATCAGAAATTATTATTACTTCCTCTCTTCTGCAGCGGAGGAACTACGGCTTTCTGGCATTCGGTTGTCGTACTCCGTGAAACAGATCCAAGGACTGAACTCCGGAAGAGATATTTGGAAAGCAATCAAAAATTCTTCAGACCCCACGGAAATTGAGGTAAGACTTTTCCAAACAACATATGTAAGCACATCATATGACTGCTGGAGCCTTTGGAAAGCAGTAAAGCATTTCTAATAATAATAATAATAATAATAATTCTTAATGTTTATATTTTAAAACCATAATATGATTATGACAAATGTCGGGGTGGAGAGCTCAGGAAATTGCTGACCCCTGGGTTCTTTAACGTGCATCTAAATCTATGATCACGGGCCTATAGCATTTCGCTTCCATCCAAATATGCTCGTCACAGCCGGATATTCATCTCCTGACCTTCAAGTTGGCATTCAAAAATGTTATAACCGCTAGACCACCGTGGTGGCCAACGAGCACTTCTCAGAGTGCAGTCCTGCTTCAAAGACCTTTCATCTCTGCATGCTCTACAAAAGCCAATTTTCCCTTTCTGGATCTGGGCAGTCGCAGTATCTTGCACAAATTGCATTTGATGTTTGGCAGAGCAAGACGCTAGTGTCACAGCATGTGCAAATGTATATGCGTTTTTCAGCGACTCCTAAGCGAAGAACAACTTCGTATGCTGAGGTGCTTCCAGGAGGAACAACTGTGCAGTCGGCAGGCGATTATTCAGCAAAAGCTTGAAAGTGCCTTGCAGACAGCCTATGAGGAAAACAAGGTACACTCTGTTTGCATATTGAAAGAACTTCTGTACAGCATATTGGTTAGTTGATTGGAACAAATTAATTTATGTAATTAAAATACAGAAGTAGAACATATTGCTAAGTACTATATAGATAAGTGCCCAATATGCAGGGACTAGGCCAACGCTTACGCCTGCACTCTTAATATATAAAATGAACAAGCAGTCTAAAAAATGATTCACTAAGCTAAAGTAAACATTGCAATGTAAAAACGAGATAATTTAGGAGTATATTGTGCAATAAAAACAGTTAATTTAACCCTTTGCAGTCGAAAACATTTACGCATATTCCGGCTCTACTGGTCCGAAACTATTTTGCCAGTTTCTGGCGTCGCAAAATAGAGACAGCGGGGCATCATTTTTATTCCCTAGGTTCGGGCAAGACGTGTGCAAGCTTGATTTTGTTTGAGACCCGACACCTGCAGAAGATTTCATTATACATTTGTCTATTTTCTTTTTCCAGTGCCCCAGGGAGAGAGTCGTGATACCCGTTCTGAAAGTGCTCCTTGGTGGCCTTCATGAGGCAGACTTGCGCAAGAACATCTGTGAGTGAAACGTGCAAGCGCTGCAAGACAGGCCACTTCGTGTGAAGGTCGTCGTGCCAACATTGAAACATTGTCTCATCGTTCCAGGCTGCCTAATGTGTGTGTGGAGGCCAACAGACGACACCCGAGAAATGCTCAAGCAAGGCGAAGCCCTCTCCATCTACAACATCAACGTAACATGTTCAAGGCAAGTGCAAGTGATTCACGGCCACGAAGCTTCACCTAAAGATATTTACATACAATTTACACTTGCACTCTACCTTAGATTTTTCAGTGGTGGTTTATGTGTGCAAATGCACTCTAACCTCATTATTACAAAGTCACACCTGCCACAAAAATACTTTGTTATATTTGAAAATTTGTCAAAAGCATATATCCATACCACTGTATCCATGACAAAGCTATACTTTAGTTGCTTCACTGTAACCGATAATTTGTTATACCCATATTCATTGTATTGCGGTTTAAGTGTGTATAACGCATCATTGGCCTTCTTCAGGAAGGTGCTGCCTGACATCCAGAACAGCGCAGTGGAGTTGACGACGACAAAAATGACGCAATTCGAGCCAGCAAAATGCCCCGATCACGTTCGCATTTACTACATGCGACAGGTGAGCAGCTGCGCATGGCCTTTACTCAATGCATCCAGAGTACCAAATAATAGTGTGTTTCTAACTTGGTCAAATATGTCTGCACAGAAATTCGCTAACTTTGTTTTTCATTTTGGCCATAGGGAGCACTACCAAATTCTCACTCCATAAAGTTAAGCAAGAATTGCAGGTGTTCTTAATAAAGTGCCTAGAAACATCTACATTCACACCAAGTGTCTATGCATTATCAGCTGACTAGTTAGATGTAGTTTGTTTAATAAACAAAGATCTTACAAGTGCTTATGAGAAAAGCACATTTGCTTTCCTCATAGAAGAGTGAATGCGTGGCACGTTTAAAGGGAGACGCTCCTCGAAAAAGTTTTTTTTTATTTCTAGTAATAGAGACTTGAAAAGTTTGTTATTAGTATAGTTTTTCATGCAGATTTCAAATATGCAATCATTTTTTGTGTAGCTGCTATAATTATTGAGTTATGCCATAAACAATAGCAAAAAGTTACATTTTTTGCGGGCACTCTTTTATGTACTAAACTTTCAGTAAAAGCACTGTGTCTGATCTTATTTGACTCTTGGTAGATTGAAAAGTGCAAATATCTATATAGATATGTCACAGAAATATTGGAACCAAGAAAAAAAAAATTGTATTGAATGACTTATTATTTTCAATCTCCCTTGAAACAATAAGCTAATATTTTCACAACTAATGCTGGTAGGCATTGCAATTTAAAGTAGATATTTGCATTCTGCATGTGTTGAAGAATATGTGTGCCAAGTTTCGTTACTATACAATGAATATAAGTTTCTAAAAGGCTGCCCGGAAAACGTGAAACTGTCAGAAAAAATGAAAATGAGAAAAACAAGTTTGAAAGTTCGCAAAGTTGGCATTTATTAGGAAATCATTCTTTTTGCATCAAATTGGGGCACAATGAAAAGTACCTTGCCTTGAATGCACTGCAAGTGTCTAGAAGTCCCCTGCACCATAGCTTGGTCCTTCACGGCTCTTGCGGTCAGTGTCCTCAACACGAGCTCTCTTCGCTGTGTTGCGACGGTGTGCCCTCGCTTCTGCAGTTTGCTTCATGTTCATCTTCCTGATGCGCATGGCGTCACAGTGGTCACCATGTGTGGCCAGATCTTGTGAGGGGAGAATTCCAATGCCTTCGAGCACTTCTTCAAAGCCCCTGTGGCCTTTGTTGTACCAGAGTACAGCAAGAGCGGTGGCTGTCTCCACAGTTGTTCTGGAGGCGAACTTTGTTTTTGGACATAGCAGCCATATCTTGCTGTTCAGCGATTCGGCTGCATTCTGTGTCTTGCCATGAAGGCACCGAATAAGGAGTTTCTCCTCTGTAAGGCGCTTGTAGATAGGCATAATTGCCAATCCTTGAGCCTTCGTCAACAGTGGGGTGTGGCGTGGTGCAGGCTCCCCCAGTGCTTCCGCACGCTTGTGCTTGCACCACGAATTTGGTCCCGCGGGGCAAAAGTTGTGGCTACTGGCACCATCACTGGAGCAGCAATGAAAATACGATGCCCATATGGCAGTGTACATATTTCGGACACTGTCCTTGTTGCTCGTGATGGCGATCTTGTAATATGTTTGTAGTTTTATTATTGTCGCATCTTTCAGTTTTTCGTCTCGTGGCAGTGGCGTTGCCAATTTCCGTAGGGCAGTTCCCAAGCGCTTTGCAACGTAGTTCGTGCACTCTTCTTTGTCAATGGGGGTGTCACAGTATACATTTGCCTCGCAGAGTGCAGTGTAGGCCTTGCTGTCACCATCACTTAGGAAGCTGGTGAATCGCAGTGGAGTTTCATAAGACAAGGTCCTCTGCCATATATTGACAGCTGCCGCAGGTTCCATTGCATGGGATGAGCAGTCAGTGTTTTTTTGGCAAACTGGAAGATGAAAAGCTCGCCATATCTCCTCATCCTCCCCAAGGTCCCTGTGTATACTGCAAGCATGGCAGTAGTTCGAAAGAACTTCAAAATCGAGGCAGAGCCCCGTGTCCAGGGACACGACTGTGCCCACTCCATTGTGGCTTTTATGACCTCTTTTCTGCCAGGTGCCATCAAACATGACTGGCACATCTCTGCCGCCGACTGCGTCCTTCGTGATGTTTCGTGCCTGGTGCAAGTTTTTGCTCACTGCCGTCATCGCCGCACCATGGAGCTTCTTGCAAATGCCGTTGAATGTCTTGTGATGCATCGGGCTCGGAAGACCGAGAATCGCACAAAATCGTGAAAGTTGGTCGTGGCCTGCTATAGCGCGTGCTGCCAGAACTGCCTTCACGTTTACAGCAAAGCTGTCACGCGAGCTGCTGCTGTCAAAACGAGCGCTCGTTCCTTGGTCCCCGGCCGAAGCAGTACGTCTCGACGTGTGCGTGAACGAAAGTGCTGATTCAGGGCAATCAGAATTTTGACAGCACAGTTCGAGGAATGCCGAAAGTCCTTTGCGCTTTCCAGCTGCCTCTCGCACGCCGAGCTTCCGTTCGCGGCAGGTTGGGCATTGCGCACCCGCCACAAGTGCCGTCAGCGCATCGATTTCGCAAAGCAGCATGTTCGCAGTAGCAGCATCTACCGGTCTACGTTCACTCTCGAAGAATCCAATCTTCCTTTGGGATGCACTGACGAATTCCACGGCAGCGGCTATTTCACAACCACTGTTGCAGGTTTGGTGACGGTGTTAGGCCTATCCGAAGTCGGGGCGTTGGTCGGGGGCGACATCGTCGTTCGCTGTCGCTTTGCGAAGCGTTCGACGCCGTTTCCCTCGATACTTGTGGCGAGTTCTGAACTTTCGATTATCTGAACTGCACTTCTTCGGGCTTGCCATGACGCAAAAATACAGAGAAACGCAGAAAAACTCGATCGCGACGTCCGAGGCTTCGCTCTTTTGCCGCAGAGATAGGAGAGGGAGGAGCGTGGAGCGCACCGCCGTCCAATGGCGGCCTCGCGCTGTGTGCCGCGATATTCAAAACGCGTGACGTACGCGTTGTTTTTCTCGTTTTTTGTTTATTCTGCGTGAAGGCACGAGACTGGCTACTAGTGGATTATGAAGGATACGGCCTTCGCAGCATGCGTGCACGATTGCAAATGGCGGCCAACGCGTCGTTTTCGCGACAGGACGACGCGAACTTCGCCGTTTTTCGCGACTTTCGCGCATTTCTCGCGTCACCGCTATCCACTTGGAAGCATTTTTCGATAATTTCTCGTGCGAATTTCAGCTTGATATTTTCAGAAGTAATAGATTATAGTCCAAGGATGCCAATACAGCCGGAAAAAAAAAAGCGAAAATTTTCCGGAAAACCGCGACTTTTCGACCCGCGTCTCCCCTTAAGACTGGGACCTTCAGAGGGCCTAGTACAGCTGCTATGGGCAATCGCAATATCCGCTTTGTTTTCCTATTAGTGAAAAGCTGTTCTAGACATGAGGCATTTAATCCACTTCATTGAATGCACCTTGTTGGTTAGCCTTGATATGTACTTGTTAGTCATTGTTATCTGCTTAATTTTTAAGAAAGCTATCGACATTTTCAGGGATTTCTCCAACCATAAACTCACTGCTGCAGAATTTACTCCTCCACACACCTCCTGTATTCTAAACATTCTGGAAAGCTTCTACTATCATGTGTGAATTCGCACTGTATGCAACGGTGACAGTGTTACGACAATCATATGAATAAAAGGAGCAAGGCTCCTATATGTAGCTTGTATGTTTTGTTCTTTCTGTGGGCTTATGACAGAAACTTTATTTTTTCCAGTTTCTTTGCATGTGAATGATTCTGTGTAAACAAGCTTTTAAATTCCATACCTATCTGTACTTATCTGTATCTATTACAGGCCACAGGCAGACTATGTTATGGACTAGTTAGTGGTTTATTAGAGTCACAGGTAGCAGACCGGATGCTACAATTCCAGTTGACCGTGCTGCTTTTCTATCAATTTATCTTCTCAATTTATTCTCTCTCTCTCTATTAGTGTTACAGGACGGATACCAAGATGAAGGAAGCACATTTGAAGACAGAGAATTAAGGGGAGATGCGAGTCGAAAAACGCGAGTTTTTTTTTCTTCAAAATTACCGATTTTTTATTTTTGCTTGTTTTTATTGATAAGATTAGTACCTCTACTGTTATAAAAAAAAAATACAGGTCGAGACTTAACTGGAAATACTTCAAAATTGCATCTAAAGAGCACAAGGTGCCTGTTAAAAAGTCCAAAGTGTGCAGTCTTCGAACACCTTGCCGCCGATAATGCGCCGCCGCTCGCCATTGTTGATCGCATTAGCCGAAGAGTCGAGCCTCACTCTTCAAGCAAAAACAGTTTCCCTCGTTGATGCGGCTCAAGAAATATAAAAGGAAGCACGCTTCTGCACGTTTTTCGAGCGCCGCAACTGGCTTATCGTGTGGTAGGATCGGGGACCGCCATTGGTTGCTGCGCACCTGTATGTGCTGTGAAACCTATTTGCGGGGTCCATGTCTTGTTGAGCAGCGCAGCTGAACATTGCTTTTCTTGTGTAATTATCTCTGTTATGAATAAAAAAAGCATTGCTCGCAAGTGAGAGCCGTTGGGCGGCTTTCACTTGCGACCAATGCATCAAAATCAAACCATCTTGCGATCAATGCCAAACTTGCGATCAATGCATCAAAATCAAAACCAATGCATCAAAAGTCATTCACACCCATCAGCCGGAAAGTTCGTGATGCGGCAATGGATCACGTCAGCACCAATCTTGCGAGGTTGAAAGAGCTCGCAGTGAGAGAACTTAGCAGGGACGACATTGCCATTATGTACGACGGTATGTGGCACAAACATGGCCACAAAATGGCATGACACTGGACTTAGTAGCATCTCCCCTTAACCCGCCTGATGCATTTAGGAACTTTGCAGGCACAAGATGGTGTCATCTAGTGCTAGGCAGAGGCTATTAGAGGCTGTTGGAAAAAGTCTTTCTTTGTGCTTTACTTGACATGAATAGCCTGCTGATGAGAACGATTGTTTACAGGTGACCAGTTTTCCCGTGCTGCTCACAGAGAGTGGCTCACAAGGCAGAGCTGTTGACATCGTTGGCTTTGTGCTTCGTGTCAGCCACCAAAAAGAAGGCACCGTGTTGACACTGACAGATACCAGGTTCAACTTCGTGCAACTGGTCGTTAGCAGAAAAGCATGGGTGAGAGCTGTTATACTTCTAGACTAACTAGTAATTACTGAGTGATATTGTTGAAAACTATGACATAAAATAAAAAAAATGAAATTAGCTCCTTATCGACAACTAGAATGCATGGCATGTCCTGTTGAATACTATTGTATGTGTTATGATAACTGACCAAAACATATGAGCGCAAAAAAAACTGACAAATGTTAGACTTCGTGTCGTCTCCTTTCTTGCATTTTTCGGCTTTTTGCACTTATGTACTATATGTCTTAGCCAGTTATGCACAACCAACTAGCCCAACAGCTCATTCTATCAGTGTTCTGAAAATTTCATGCTGTTGAAATGACAGGTGCAGGCACGTCACATTAAAGATATAGCTCCAAAGATTGCAGCCGTTTGCTAGGTGACATCTGGCCCGCAGGTGAAGTCCAATTGTAAAAACAATTTGCATATAAAAATTGTTTTCTAGAAAAATTCATAGCATACCGAAAGGTCACCGAGTGGCCCCGCTGTGGATTCTTTTTATTCCTGTAGTAGGTGTCTATTATGACACAATTTTGCCATTGAATTCATTAGGCATGGCTTTGTAAATTGATGTTAGTGGTTTCGTTTACTATGGGCTATATATTCATAGTAGAATATATATATATATATTCAAAGTATATATTCACAGACATATATATTCATAGTAGATATAATGTACTGATGTTTTTAAATGTCACAACGCTGTAAACTTCTCACGATACAGTGAGTAAACTAACAGTAGTGAGACTTATCACAAGTTCTTTATTCTCACCGTGACGCTTCACTGCAACCTGAAGAACTGCGGTTTGTGCAAAAGCAACCTTGTTTTTTTGCCATATTCATAGGTACACAAATGGAGTTGGGAAAGTATAATGGAGGAAAAGAAAAAGTTCATTCCTACAAGATAGCTCTTACATGTTACGAGGGCGGTATTCAAATGTGCAGGCTGCAGAAGAGAGCATGAACGGCAAGTTTCTTTCGGCGACAGACGTCACGCTCAGGACGGGTAGTGCAGACAGAATTGCCACTCTGGAGACGACCGAGTTCTCAGTGCTGACGACTTCCCCTGCAAGCAGCAGTCTCCGCCATGCCCTTTCAGCTCTCAAGGCCTCCATAAAGGTGCTTCGCCTTATTTTCCGTACCACATTTCGACATTGATTGCAAGTTACTGATTCGAGGCTTTAGTACTTACTCTTAGTACTCACTCCATGGTTCGTCGCTGGTGACGTTTAAAAAAACGCGAGAACATAACATGTATTGATTTTGGTGACCCATTGAGACTAGGCTTGTGCGAATATATTCGATCAAATAAGGTTTGCGAATTTGCTTCGATTCGAATTTGCCCCGCCGCGGTGGTCTAGTGGATAAGGTACTCGGCTGCTGACGCCGCACGTCGCTGGTTCGAATCCCGGCTGCGGCGGCTGCATTTCTGATGGAGGCCAAATGTTGTAGGCACGTGTGCTCAGATTTGGGTGCACGTTAAAGAACCCCAGGTGGTCGAAATTTCCGGAGCCCTCCACTACGGCGTCTCTCATAATCATATGGTGGTTTCGGGACGTTAAACCTCACATATCAATCAGTCAATAAATTCGAATTTAAATCATCGAGAATTTCGAAGTATTCGCAATGAACGCATAGGTGTACGTTAATCCGCATGTAATCACTTGTAAAGGTAGTTTCACTGCAGTGTAGGAGTGTTAAGCCGTGAAAGCACCCATCCAGGAGAAATATGCTCTGCCGCGAAGGGGGCTACACTTTTCGAGCGTTGTCAAGAAAGCACTGCCGATCGATAGTCGAGGCTCCCGAGAACACGCGAGCCGAATATTACAGCGCAGCACCCGGCATAAAATTCACAATAAAATCTCGAAGTCAGCTGAAAATTGCTCTCTTCTCTCGGCGAATGACGCCAAACTCAAAAATCACTCGTCGCAGCCATTGTATAAGTCATCGGCTTTCTGAGCATGGCGTGCTCGGTCGTTTCTGGGGCCGCCGCGGGAGGCTGCCACAAGTTCACGCGTATGTACGCGATTCCACTGAAAAGCTGTGTATCCTGCGGAAAAAAAAAAGAGAGAGAGAGAAAGTACTCGAGGTCATGAGGCGCACGTGACGTATCTTTTTTTTCCCCGTGCCATCACTCCCTCTTTAGCTTCCAGCACTTTAGTCGGGACGAAAAGGGAGAATGCAAACAACAAATCTTTGCAACTCCACTCGAACAGGTGGACGGATTCTGAAAATTTTTTGCGGTGGTGTATTCATGAGGCAATATGCTTGTTTAGTGAATCTATTCTATGGCTATTTTAAAAATTGTTGCAGAACCTCTTTAAATGAACATGTTACACTCAAATCGATTCATCATTTTTGAAGCTTGTTATGATGGCTTATATGCTCTGAGTATAATAAATTTTTAAATGCCATGTATTTTACAGGTTATCACTCGCATCCGACTGAAAGTAAAATGCTGTTATTAATCAAAGTTGACTTCCTTTGAACAAAAAAAAAGCATTTGCACTAACACTTTTTTTTTTTCAATTTCAAAAAAATATTGTGCAGGTTAGTTAGGTCATGATAAATATGCCCATCTTTCTTTATATGTTATACACTATTCAAATTCGATTCGAAATTATTCCACCAAAATCACCATTCGCTTTGGACCTCAAATCCGCTATTCGCTCAAGCCTAATTGAGACAGTTCGTACACCTTTGTGTACAATACCGTCCACTGTTAAAACGAACACTGCAATAAGCACCGTTAATATTACCAGCCATCTAACAGTGAGTGATTAAGAAAACTATGTTCATGCACGACTAGTCTCTCAAAGGAAGGTGAAACGGTCAATCAGCGGTAGTCTAATGCAAATCTAAGCCGCTAGGCTTTTCAAGGAGTGAAATCCAAGCATACCATGCACTCAATTGTTCCCTTTAACAGTGGACCCGTTTGTAAGCAACTTGTTTTTGCTAGTTGTGTCAACTAGTGTTAAAAAAGTACAAAAAACATTGGGGTTTGGATGAACTGAACCTTCCGTGTAGTAAATGTGTCTTCATGTAGCTTGACTTTGCATTGTACTGTTGCATATGATCACTTTGCTAAAGGCGCTACCATACTCGAAGTGTCGCTTCCCATAAGCCATGTCAAAATGAAAATTTTGCTTCTCAAAATGAACATAACCGACTGTATTTCTAGTAAGATTGAATTCTATTTATGCAAAGACAGTAGTCAGTTCACCAAAGCCACCTGCTCAAAATAAGCATGATTTCCAAGCGCTCGCGATGGAAGAAATCATATTAAAAAGCATATCTTTGCCGCATAGATGAGCTTTCACTTACACCTTTAAAATTTTTCTCTCAAGATGCCGCTTTGGGCACCTTCTTGAGTTTGGACATCTTTTTGGTATTTTTGATATGAGTGACTTCAAGATAGATATTCAACTACAACTCAAGATCAGTTACTACAATACTCATATATTAACACGCTCTGATGTTATTTCATTTACACTAGAATATCACGAGGCTTGAAATATTTCTGTGTTTTATGCATTTACAAACAGTTCCTCGTAGGTGACATCTGATGTAATGCGTTCAAACATCGATATAACGAAGTAAATGAAGTATAGTTGGTGCTGCAAATATATGTTTTCTTAACAAATTTTCAGGTATAGCAAAGTATTTTCGTAGCAAGTGTAACTTTGTTATAATGAGGTTTGAGTGTAGTAATATCTGGGGTTATGCCAAAACCACGACAGAATTATAAGGCACGCTGTAGTGGAAAGCTCTGGAAATTTCGACGATCTGCTGTTCTCTAACATGCACTGACATCGCACGTTACACGGCCTCTGCCATTTAATCTCCGCCGAAATGCGACTGCCTTGGCCAAAATCGAACCTGTGACCTTTGGGTCAATACCCGAGTTATGTAACCACTGATACACTGCAATGGACTGGTCCACATTGAAGGGGTTAATGTTTCAAAATTACATTATACTTGTCCTATGTATATTTAATAGTCAACTATACTGTTTATGAGCTGCTAAATGTATCATAGCAAAAAAGAAAAAAAAAACACCAGGCCTGCACGGATTGTGCAGCACAGTCACAGCAAAAGCTGGAAGAGTGGCCTTTCAGGGCCATTTGTAAACACTCTTAGGGTGACTGCTACAGGCACACTTGCCAGGTACCCACTAAGCCATAAATAATCGTAACTTTTGTCGACATTCATAAGCTATTCGGAGAGGCGTGGTATCCGCTATACACTTGCAAGGAATTTCGTTCAAATTTTTCATGCGGAGGCTGACAACGATGAAGAATTATGCCTGGAGTGGGTATGCGCCACAGTTGATAGGTGATCAAAAACAAGCTTTTCTAGTGGGTTGGAGCATCGGACGACCCACTCATTGCGCAATTGGCATTGTGTGGCGTCTGGTTGTTCCTTTGCTGTTCTAAAACGCTTTATTACTCATACTAACGCAATTTATTTCCCGACATCAAGGCCTGCCTAAGGCAAGTTTGCAACGAAGTTTCCAGCTATGGCGCATGCGGCTCTGCTGGTAGAATACTGGGCTGGCACGTGGGGGACCTGGGTTCGAATTTCGCCTGTGTCCTTGGCGCTATTTCGTGCAATAGTGGTTACGGACATAGTCCGTGGCGGCAGGCAACTGCGACGCTGCACACGACGCTTGTTGTGATCTCATAACAGCTTTTACTGTAAAAGAAACAAAAGCACAGTGCCTTGTTCAAGGCTCAACTAATGTTAATGGGAGATGCAACTCAAAAAAGCAAGTTCTTTCCAAAGTTACATATTTTTTTGTTTTTATTTTCTTTCACAAGTTTACTTTCTTTAAAAGAAAATGTAGATTGTAAATAAACTCGAAGTAGGTTGATATCACTTTTAAAAAGCACAAGGTGTCTGCTAAAAACTAAAGAGAGCTCATTTTCTTGTCCCCTGAAAATTGTCATGTGGCTGCTTGCCATCGCATTGCTGAAAATAACCAGCTCAAAATAACCATGATTCCCAAGCCCTCGTGATGGAAGAAATCGTATTAAAAATCATATCTTTGCAGAATAGATGAGCTTTCACTTACGTATTTAAAATGTTTCTCTCAAGACTGCCACCTTGGGCAACTTCTTGAGTATGGACATCATCTTTCTGGCATTTTTTATAGTCAGATCAGGATGAAATTTCACCTGTATTCCTTGACTTGTGAGGAGTGCAACTATCTCCTTTAAAACTTGATATCACCTACATAGTTATTACGAACCTAAAGTAAGCACTTCGTATGGGTTGAGCCGATGGACTTCTCACTTTGCGAGTTTTCTTGTTCATTAACATGTCTTATACGCTTTCTTGTTATTTGCATTCCATAGTCATTAATGGCTCAGAACCATAACAGTTTAGTGGCATGTGTCCGAAAAGTGCATCTTGCACATTGCCATGGTACAAAATGATGACTACGCAACTTACTATAAAACTGATTACATATTTGAAATCAGCATAAAAGCTTATGTATACAGCAAAAATTTCATTGCCCTGGGCAATGAAGTTTTTTTAAAGCTTTTTTTTTTTTTAGTAGCATCTTTCCTTGTTGTCAAAACAGTAAAATAAGAAGGGAACTTGCACTATTAGCAGTGTTTAAAATGCCAGAGGTTGCAAAAAAGTGTCGAGAGTGAGCGCAGTCACAACTCGTTTCTGAGTCAATTGATTCAAGCCTCTGCTGAATGGGAGGCATGCACTTCATCGACCAAACGCACCCTCTTTGCAGAATCCATCGGACTTTGCCACCACCGCCTTGGCCAGGCTTCAGAAACCGGTGCATGTCAACAGTCCGCATGTTGCACCAAGACCACCTTGTGCACCTCAACAAACTACAAGGCTAGCTTCACCCGCGACACCTAACAACACTGCACCCGTTGGAGAGCCCGCTCCTATTTCAAGAACTCCCACTGAGACAAGGCCATCAGACGACACTGATGGGCTTTCACTGCCAAAGGGAAAAACTGAAGTGGAGCCAGGTTCACCTGCCGATGCATTATCGAAGCAAATTCATGCCAAAATAGAGTTCCTGCAGCGTTATGCAGCATTGGCGCCGATACCGGTGTTGCCTTCTCCACCTTCTGCCAAAGCGAAAGCGGCTTTTCGCTCTGTTAAAAAGCAGCCCTAACATCGACTCGAAACAAAAAAGCCCTTCGATGGAGTTAGACAAATGACAAACCTTGCTAAGGTGCATTTGTTGTGTTCCTTGTGGTTTACACACCGTGAGAGCACTTGCACACTTGAGTGTGCTTGTGGAACATTTACATATTAGTTAATATGTTAGCTTTACCACCCCTGTTTATGTTGCATTACTGTATAATAGTAATTTATTGCAAAGCTTGGTTCCTGCTACAGAAGCAATAACTGGCCAACCCTTCGAGATTAAAGTGTTGTCTGCATGTTCATGCTGACAATGTACATATTTTTGCACTTAGTAGTCTAAAGAATGGTTCGCTTCTAGCACCACAGAAACCATTTCTCATCGAGCTAGTCAGATATATTTATAGCAAGCTGTAAACGTCTGGGATTGTTTGTAGCAGCATATTCTGGCTACTTACTACCATGTGGTGACTTGTCGTTAGATTAAAGCACACTGAGCTGGGTAGTTAAGCAGGGTTGGATTTTAAAAGTGAGATTTTTTTTTCATGCTGAAACCATGTAGCATACTTTGTGTGATATATTTATAACTTCAAAATCGTCATCCCAACAGGAGCTGTCTTCACAAGTTGGTTTCACAGAGAAAAGTGAAAGTACACTATTGAAGTCGATCAACTAGTACAAAATTTTTTCTGCCTGTTTTGATTGCACAGGCATAGTCACGTGGCCAACTCTATGCAATATCAGGTATTCTATTAAGATGGCAGCTGCCCTAATTTAAGGATAGGACACATGCGGTACTTTACTGCAAGAAACATGCAAACATGTATTCCTATTTGCGGAGCAGAAATAAAACGTTTTTGCAGATGTGTCGACATATACATAGTAGCAGCAATCTTTAGCTGCTCCAATGGCTAGTAGTTTCAGCCTTCTTGCCGCTCAATGGCCCACGAGTTCGCAAAACTAATGGTAAGTGTGAAAGCGAGAATGCAGGAAATGAATGGCGCGCAACGTTTAGTAGAAACGTTTTACTACAGTTGTACATTCGGCACACATGCCTGCCTCCACACAAGTCCGTGGAGCTAACCTGCCGACAGTGACGTACTTCATTTCCTCCCGAACGGATCCGACCAAACTTGCATACCTGCGAAAGAACGCACCAGTGGGATTTCGTAAAAAAAAAACACGTGCGCCAAACACTCGACCTCCAGGTTGTAGGTTCTTTACCTCCAGGTTGTATGGACTCCTGATCGATGTCTTTTCTCGTATGCTTCTGGACTTGTTCTGAAAAATAAAGAGCAATAAAGCCGAACTAGTCTGGCCTTCCTTATTTCTTTTTTGCCTTACTGTAATCTTGGACGAAAATATACGGGTGAATGACGATCGGGTACAACGCCAAGCACACTGCAGCCACAAAGCCTCCGACGAGAACTCCCGCGTGAATGCCCTTCCGAGGCGCCTTCATTGCTGCTTCGATAACCCCGCACAACAGTTTAAAGTAGGCACTCGTACTAAGCGAACGGCAGTAGCTACAACTTGTAAGGTAGTAGCGGTCTTTTGCCAGCTTGTGAACCTGCAGCACAACACCGGATAGCGATTTCGCGCTTCCACCGTTTCAAAGCTACCTACGGCCACCTCTCAAAAACAAGCGATCCAAAATTAAGCATTGACTGGGATGGGTCCTCACTTTGCTGCTTTCCTGCACTGAACATTTAATTTGACCGTTCGGAGAACTGCTGCTTAGAATAAATTTGATCTCTTTTTTTTTTTTTTTCGAGTTGTTGAGAGAGCGCCCCTGGAGGTTGTCGTGTCAACTACTAGTGCGTGAACGGCGAGCAGGCAAGTTTACGCGAATGAATCGCTGATTAATTACGGTCCAAAAACACGCGTGCGATTCGGGGGGGGACCTAAAATTTGACCCTGCTCCTCGTGGTCTTGTGTCCACGGACAGGATGATTCCAGGCTGAGGGAAAAAACTCGCAGCGAGAAGCTAGCAAGTCGAGCAACGCGCCCGAAGAGGAGGTGAGTGCATTGCGATGCGTCCGTGGAGTGTGGCATATTGTTTATGCCGAATTTACGCTTTCCTCAGAGCCGGGAAACGTCTCCTGGTTTTTCTCACGTCGTGTAAATAATCCTAAGCATCGTTTCGTTTCGTAGTAGTTTTTCTTCGAAGGCGAGTCACCGTCCCGCGATCGGTCGTGTGGGCATCCCCAGTTATCGTTCGATGTGCGCAGCGCTCAGCACGCCCATTGAATTTATCGTGCGCTGGTTATCGGTGTGACCGGTATTGCCTCTCTTCTTTTCCCTGCTCACATTTCGAGGTGACAGTTGAGTTTTGTGCGGTAATCGGCGCTATTTCGCCACTCTGAGCGAGCAATAGGCCTAGGTTATTAAAAGACGCAGGGGCGAGCGGATACGGGGGCTCTTCGTGGTGCGTGATAAACAAATGCACGTTTGAGAGCCACTGTGGCCTGCCTCTGTAAACCGGTTAACTTCGGCGTGACGCTTTGGAGCTTGCGTAAGCTGTTGGAAACGCTGTTAGTTGTAGGAGGTTCAAAGAAAACGTTGCCGAGGGAAGACTTCCTTTGATGTCAACCGTAGCGCAGCATGAGCACATCAGACCGGATAGGTGTATTAGGATGGTAAATGTTCCTGTCTGGGACCCTTAACTGCGCTGATCGGCTATGCAAACAATGTTCCTTCTAGCATTGCCATTCGCGGTCGTGGCAGTGAAGATCATTTTCCCTGTGTAATTGCGTCATCGGTGTGTTATTCTGTGCCGTATTCGCGTGACTCGTATGCCACTGTTTTGCTTTCAGGCACAATGGGCCAAACGCTTTCCGAGCCGGTTACGGCAAAGGAGACATCAAGTTGTATGAACGACCAAGTGAAAGTGGGCGCATCGTGCATGCAAGGATGGCGTATAAGTATCCTTTACTGTTATTTTGAAGCTGGATCGGTGTGTTGGTTTTCATTTTCCCGCCTGCCGCTTGACTGCTCTGCTGCTAGTGCACTGCTGTCATCTTTTTGCTTACGTCGCCGCAGCTCGTGACTTTGTGTCAGCATACCTACTGCCAAGTTGGTTTAGCGTTGCATCATCTAGACACTTGCAGATATTGTCGGGGTGAAATGATCAGAAGCAGGACGTGCTCGTGTCTCAGTTCACATATCTTTTTCACTTTTACGCTTTTCTCCTTTGGCTGATGGCCATGTTCTGAAATTTTGCACAATGTTGGATTGATCGTCTCACTGGGAATGCAATGATCAAGTTAACCAATTACATCCCCAATCTTCCAATTTAGTACCTTTACTGTAAGTGTACACATAAAGAACACATCCAGCTTTATTAATCTGCCCAGCCTTTTCCGGCTATAAACATGTGGTTAACATGGTAACACTGGGTTCGGGTACGTGCCATATTTTGTTAGACCACCATCATCATATTGTCATGCTGTCAGTGCTAGGTGGTAATGAATTTGGCATCCAGTAACCTTACTTTTACACTAAAAGCTCAATTTCCTTTGGCATAGTAGAACAAATGCCGGCTCGCTGGCATTATTTATCTGTTTCTTTGAGAGATTCCTTGACAGATCGTTTACCAGACATGGAAGATGCCCACACTCATCTTCTGAGCCTCTCTGAGGACAAAGATGCTGCATTCTTTGCCGTCTACGATGGCCATGGGGGTGCAAAGGTGGCCCAATATGCTGGGAGCCACGTGCATCGCAAGATCGTCTCTCAGCCATCATATCGTAAGTGCAGTGTGTCCTGTATGTTGAAGGCAGAACCCAGCTTCACAGTAGTTGATAGTCCACGATGTAAAGAAGCCTACTTGAGTCTTTAAATATAGACTGTAGTCCACGTAATTTGTAGCACGGGTGCTGTTAGGGCCATTTACTGCATCCCCACACAGCAGACTACTTGAGATTCTGGGTAGTCATTATTGTCAGCACTCTGTAACTGTGCATGCTGTGTGCAGCACAAAAATGCCTGCTGCTTTAGCAGCAATGCCTTGGTCTTGTGCATAGCGATTAATAGACATTTGGTATAGACTGTAAAACACACTTTCAGTGGGAGGTAGGCTACAGAAATGCATGCACTATACATATGTTGTTGTGTATACTGGAAGGTTCTCAGCACCTTGCTTAATTTCACAGCTTAAGGGAAATGCTTGTGCAGGAAAAACGTAAAACTCTTTTACATTGCTAAAATGACTGCATCTTGACCTGTTGTGCTGTTTCTCGTAATCAAGTAACTTGCTCACTAAAATAATTGCTACAAATGTCAATGCTATGTTTACTTAAGTGATGGTTACTGTACAACCCAGTTTATTTTTATTTTTTTGGCAGAAACAGCATCACTGAAAATTAGTCTCTTAAGCTCTGCAATACTGTTTTTAAGGGCTACATATAATTAATCCTTGTTAAAGCAACTATCAGTTTGTATACAGAGTGAACAGCACATCAGAAATATGTTACTGGCATCTCTTGTGATGACACATCACTACAGTAGCTCTCTCTGTCACTTGTCGCATGTCTGTTTTGTCTCCATTCAACAGAGTGCTGTGTGTGCTTCATTTTAATGTATTTTTTTTTTTACTTCTCTCTGCTGCAGAAAGAGGAGATGTAGTAGATGCCATAAAGAAAGGTTTTCTGGAGGTTGACTCAGACATGCTTAAAGGTGGGGTTTGTTTGTCACTCTAGTATTTTTGTTGTGCCAAGTTTTGCCAAAGAAGGTGTTATGCAGAGAAATGCTAGATCAATTTTTATTGCTAGGTTAACGGTTGAACCGACATTTGAACATGTTTGTTGCAATAATTTATTAATTTATTTATTCAGAAATACCCTGCTTTGCCAAAAGGTGCATAAGCAGAGGTGTTACAGCTTGGAAAAAAGTAAATCTTCATTATTACAGTACACATTGATTACTAGTCACGTTGGTGCTTTTATCTTTTTATTAAAGTTATTTCAGATGTTATGGGTAAGTTATGTCCAGCAGTTGCGCTAGTTAGTTTCTTAACTCTCCATTGTAGGTCCGATGGAAAAAGAAGCCACTAGCCATGGCAGCTTAGGAGTCGTAGTGCTGTGCTTCTAAGTAAAAGGGCAAGGGTTTCCTTTCCAGTCATGGCATATGCATTATGATGGAGGCAATATGCAAGAGGGCATGTGTACATAGACTTACTGGACGTTTAAAAAAAAATGAAAACAGGTAGTAAGAATGAATCTGGAGTTTCTTGCTACAGCCTAGCTCATAATCATGTGGTTTGGTGTGCCAAGCCCCCAAATATTTCTTTTTCTTTTGAAAGCCAGAAGGGCAGCTAACTACGCAAATAGCAGTAGCGGCAGCAAAGTCACCAAAAATTTCTCTGGCATCTAATGTCACTTTTTTTCATTATTTGCTTCATCATGTTTGCTGGCACTGGTGAGCTGCGTATGAAAGTAAATCATTGTTAATGGATTTTCTAAGTATACCACAAAACCTGTGAGCTTAGGGCAAGTACTGCCGTTCTCACACGCTCCCACACCCCAACTGTGGTGCCAGTTGCCTGAAAGAATTACTGACACCACTTTTCAAAGCTGTGTTTACTTCGTTGTATGAATCGCCTGTATACAGAGACGGCTCTGAGCAACTGTAAAGCTTGCCAAATACTGATAAGCTATTTTATTTTGATATTAAAGTAAATTTTCCCATGGCGCACTTCGCGACACTGACACTATCCTGACATCAGGCTGCAATACTAATTCTGGCGACTTCATGCCGTAGTCTAGCTAATTGTGATAACGTCAGGTGCCGAAACCTCCAAAATGGCCACTTGCATTTCATCTAAACATTCGAAATGGCCGCTTGTTTGTAACCGACAACGCGGTGCGGAGCAGTCATAGAAACTTCACGATATCTTGTGGGAGCACGTGATGAGAATCTTATACTCTGTTGTGACGATAGGGTGCAGTAGGAACTGAAACTAGCTGTTATAACCTGCGTTTTCAGGGTGCACTCACGTTTAGTAGCACATTTTCTAGGCCCTTGAGGGCTTGGCCATTTTTTGACGCTAGAAAACAACTAAACATTTTTGTGTGGGTACCCCTTTTAAGTGCCGTGTCACCGTTTTTTCAGATCTTTGTTTCATCATGAAGGCACTCTCAAGTGAAACGTAAATCGATTTAGACTGATAAATCATTTGACAACTTGATCGTTAATTTTCTTATTGTAAGTTCTTTATTAAAAGACGAAATGAAAGTCATAGTGTTGTTATTGAATTTTGCGCTCAATGTTGGTGATACATGATTGTTTTGAAATGAGAGCGCACTGTGCAAAATAAAGCGCAGAAGCCGTTTTGTCAATTGCATTAGCAACGTTGTTTCATGCGGTGCCTGTTATATTGGGCAAACTGAAAGATGCCTCAACGACAGATTGCATGAGCATGTGTGCAATGTTCGCAGCGGCAACGATGGTTTCCTCGCCCAGCATGTCACTAGATGTGGCTGTGAAGTACAGTTTGATAACACAGTCGCACTTTACAAACACAAAGATGAGTTCACTAGGCTTATAATTGAGGCAGCATACATAGCGCGTGAACACTTGCCTTGCGTCGGCAAACCATTAATAGCTCTGTCCGATAAGGAGCTAGCATTTTTAGACAGTAGCAGATGCCATAGGAGTTAAGTAATCACTCCAAGGCACAGTAGGCGTTGGTAAGGTGGGGTTGACGTACATAGATATTTTATCGGTTCTGTAATTTTGGTCCGTGATTTGGTCTCATCGTATGTGCCACGACACTCTGTCATCTGTCAGTATATATTTCATAGTTTTCCGAATAAACTTTCAGTTGGTGGTAAGCGCTTGTCCCTGTCTTTCTGTCCGCGTCTAAGTAGTGTGGTCTCATTTCAAAAACTCTGTGTGGCGTCATAGATTTCAGTGCGAATTTCGCATATTTTGGCTTCATTGGCCAGACAAAATTTTCCAAAGTTTGCTATGTTATGTATATGGCTTCCTTAGGGCACAGTGTAATTCGTTTTTGCCTATGAATAATTATAAAAGGCATTTGGCCAGCATCGTGAAAAGCTGTGGTATCACGGTGAATTTTCGTGGTGAATATCTCTACCTGTACTTTCAGCTTGCGCGGTTTCTGGCTTACCGAGCGAATACAACATTTTTTCAAAACACATGGGAAATGGTTTCCTTTTGTTAGGTCCTTTTCATGCACCCACATGGCTTGCAAAAGCACTGCCCGCTCACGCATGTAGTGACGCCTAGTCTCTGCTGTTTTTCAGACGATGCCATGAAGGATGAACTTGCGGGCACCACAGCTGTTGTAGTGCTCCTGAAAGGTGGTCGCATCTACTGTGGAAATGTGGGTGATTCGCGGGCCATTGCGTCTGTTGGTGGTCACGTGCAGCAGCTCTCCTTTGACCACAAACCGGGCAATGAATTGGAGACACGCCGCATTATCGCAGCTGGCGGATGGGTCGAATTCAACAGAGTCAATGGTCTGTAGTTTCAAGCATCCCTCCTTTGCTTGTCCATTGTTAGACATTTTCTTTACAGCTTCCCTTATTGCAGCGCTTGTGCAACGATGTAATTTTCAAAAAGATCTTCTGCTTTCTTTGTGTTGATGCATTATTGTGTTGCCCCGCCGCGGTGGTCTAGTGCCTAAGGTACTCGGCTGCTGACCCGCAGGGCGCGGGATCAAATCCTGGCTGCAGCGGCTGCATTTCCGATGGAGGCGGAAATGGTGTAGGCCCCTGTGCTCAGATTTGGGTGCACGTTAAAGAACCCCAGGTGGTCAAAATTTCCGGAGCCCTCCACTCCGGCATCTCTCATGATCACATATGGTGGTTTTGGGACGTTAAACCCCACATCAAATCAAAGAATTATCGTGTTGAATAGTGGAAGTGGTCAAAGGGGAAGATGGGATTTCAATTAGACAGACTGCCTAGTCTTTTTTTTTTAGGTCAGCATTTTAAAGAGCACCATTCGTAATGTTGTCTCTGTAAGTTAAGGTCCTTTAGACATTCATTGTCTGAGATGTGTGTCTGTTCAACTATTTTCGACCGTATTACCAAATAACATACCGTATTTTTCGATCTATAAATCGCACCCTTGTATAAGTTGCACCCCTCTCAAAATGGCAGTTTTTCCGGGGAAAAACGCATACAAGTCGCATTGGTGTCTAAGTTGCACCGGTGTACAAGTCGTACATGCTTATTCGGCTCAACGAGTGTCGCGTCGTGAGAAAGCATGGCGAAAATGCATGCTTGAGGCGGCCGCCGCTTTTGCAAGCTTCCAGCTGTTGGCAGACGCGTGGGAACGCCTCCCAACACACATAAAAGCAATACAGTAAACGCTCGTTAATTCGACACCCGTTAATTCGGATCATTCGGACGGCTCTATTGGTCCCGGCCAAAGTGCATGTTAATCTATGGGACCAAACCTTCGTTATTTCGTCGGAATTCGGCTCCGCACCGCTTAATTCAGACAAATGCTGATGGCTGCTGCTACACAAAAGTGTGATAAAGCAGCGCTGGCACCACTGGAGTGAAACCGAAACCTGAGTGGCATCGCCATCATCATCAACTAGTGGGGGCGATCGCAGCGTCACCGAAGGTCGGCGTCTTCTTTCTTCTCCACTCAGCGCCTCCGACGCCATTTTCCCTTGTGTTGTCGTGTCGGAACCATCTCTTCTTGCGGACTTCTCTTTTTCTTCCATTGTGACCGTATTTGCATGCCACCAAGATCGTGCCCTGCAGTGATGGCAACGCCGAAAAAGCGGCAGAACTACGACGCGAAGAACTTGGCGACTAAAGTGGAAATTTTGGAAGCACTGAAGAACGGCAAATCGCGACAGCAGGTTATGACCAAGTACAAAGTGAAGCGGAGCACGTTGGGAACGTATGTGAAAAATGAACAACAGATTCAACAAGCCTTCGAAAGCGAGAAGTTTCATGCCTCTAGAAAGCGGTTGCGAACCGCAGCTCATCCCCAGCTCGAAGAAGCTTTGCTCCGGTGGATTACTGACTGTCGCAACGCGCATCTGCCTTTGAGCGGACCTCTCATCATGGCGCAAGGTGAGAAGTACGCTGCAATGATGAACATTGAATCGTTCAAAGAGTCAGAAGGGTGGTTTGCGAGGTTTTGAGAGAGACATGAACTTGTCTTCAGGAGTGTGTGCGGCGAAAAGGCCAGTGTTGACGAAAGCGTGACCACCGAGTGGAGAAATGTGAAGCTGCTGGAGCACATCGCCGCATATGAACCGCGTGACGTGTTCAATGCAGATGAAACTGCTCTATTTTTCAGAGCTCTGCCCGACAAGATGGTGACTTTCAAAGGGGACGCGTGCATTAGTGGCAAGAAGTGCAAGCAAAGGATAACTGTGCTTCTTGCCGCCAATATGACAGGCACGGAGCGCTTGCCACTACTTGTCGTCGGGAATGCGCTTAAGCCACGTTGTTTTAAGAACGTCAAAAGCCTTCCTGTCGAGTACACAGCGAACAGGAAGGCATGGATGGCATCGGACATTTTTTGCGGCTGGCTGCAGCAGTTGGACCGGCACTTCACGTCGAAGGACCGCAAGATAATTATGGTTGTTGACAACTGCAGTGCCCATAACTGTACAGTCGAACTGAAGAGCATCAAAGTAGTTTTTTTGCCGCCCAACACTACGTCTGCTCTTCAGCCGATGGACCAGGGTATCATTCACTACGTGAAGTCGAAGTACCGCAAGCACATGCTAGAGCGAATGATCCTATGCTCAGAAGCTGGAAAGTTGTATCAAGTGGACTTACTCGGCGCAGTGCACATCATCGCCCACGTGTGGAAAAACACTCCGCCGCAAGTCATCGCCAACTGTTTTCGGCACAGCGGTTTTGTGAGGCCCGAGCATGCAGCAGTAGCTGACGATGGCATCGAGGAGGTGTCAGCCGAGTCCACCGACGATGACTGCCCGACTTTCGATGCTGTCTTTCCCACAGATGTGACCTTTCAGGACTACATCGCGATTGATCATGGTGTCGCCACGAGTGGTCGCCTGACCGATCAAGAGATTATTAATGATGTCACGGGCGCCCATGAAGACCATGATTCCGACGAAGAATCATGCGAGGAGATACAGCAGCGACCTCATCGCACCTCACGGGAAGTCTCGGAGGCGCTGTTAATATTAGAGGACGCTTGCCTGAACACTCCCGACAGCTTGCGTGCTGTTGGCCATTTGGAACAGTTAAGAAAAATTGTGATGTCAGCCAGAATCTGCGCGAAAACGCAGACGACAATTACAAAATACTTCAACAAATAAAGGTATGCTTCTGCAGCTTGATTTTAAATGTTGTTTTCCCTGTTCATTCGTTAATTCGGCATTCGGTTAATTCGGACAGTTATTCCGGTCCCGCGAAATCCGAATTAACGAGTTTTTACTGTATTTCCAGTCAGAAGTATTCTTACTATTCCGATAAATCAACACCATCGAAGTTGTCTTCCTCAGAGTCGCTCACAAACAGTGCAGCTATATCGGGTTGTAGCTGTGCTGGCCCGTTACTGTCGTCCTCCAACTCGCCCGAATCGGACTCAATATCGGCCACGCAGGAAATCAACCCGGCCTTCCGAAAGCCCGCCACAAATAGAATGCCAGGCTTCACTCACCCATTTCGCCACTTTGCCAAACTCAGCGCATCTCATGCAACCCCCGTTTTAGTGAAGTTATGCCCTCCCTCTCACATTCATGACTCTCACAAGCGTCGCAGAACGGCCTTGAAGCTGCGGTTGACAGATATGTCAAGCGGCTGAAGCAACTTGGTCATGCCGCCGGGAACGATTACAGGCGTACAATGCTTCCAACTGATCTTTTTTTGTTTACGGCGTCGTTGATATGAGCCCACATACTGTCCATCAGCAGCATTCCTGGCTGCACGTGAAAGAATCCGTCGAGTCGACGTGAAAAACGGCGGTCAAGCCACACACCCATCGTTTCCTCGTTCATCCAACCCTTCGCATTCGCCTGAACCACCACTGTAGGAGGGAAAATATCCTTCTGCAAGGTTTTCCGCTTAAATATAAGCATGGGAGGCAACTTGCTGCCGTCTGCGCAGCAGGCAAGCACAACAGTGAAGTGAGACTTTTCTACTCGGCTGCATTTCCGATGGAGGTGAAAATTCTGTAGGCCCGTGTGCTCAGATTTGGGCGCACGTTAAAGAGCCCCAGATGGTCGAAATTTCCGGAGTCCTCCACTACGGCTTCTCGCATAATCATATGCCCTCTCTCATAATCATATGGTGGTTTTGGGGCGTTAAACCCCACATATCAATCAATGAAGTGAAACTTTTGGTGCCCAGTTGTCCTCACCGTCACAGTTTTCTGGCCTTTCTCGGCGACGTTTCTTTCGAGCGGGATGTCGCATGTCAACAGCACTTTATTTATCTTGACGGTGTGGCTCGCACTCACGCTCTTCTTCGCAATTTCCTCCCTCACGAATGAGCTGAAGTGTTCCAGCTGCGCTTGAAAATCGTCAGGTAGCTTCTGGCTCACTGCAGTCCGGGCTCGCATGACAAGCTGATTCCGCCGCATAAAGTGGAAACACTACGGCGGACCACCACTGAACCCCTCAGTGTTAGTCTCCGCTACCTGAGCTTTCGCCTTCAGGCGCAGCTGCGCTGTAGACAGGCCTCTTCCTTCGGCTCGCTGTTGTGACGCCCACGTTCGCAGACTACGCTCAAAGTCCGGCCAGCATGCCTTCTCGCAGTGATTGGCCTTCTTTGTTAACTTCATTGTCCGGTGGACGCTGTGAGCCTTGCGCCAGTCTCCGATTACTTTTTCGGCAACATCGAATTCTCTCCCTGCAGCACGATTTCCATGTTCTGCAATTTCAATTGCAAGCAGCTTGAACTTCGCATCCAGACTTCGCCGACTTTGCTTTTCATGTGGCGGCATGGTTAGCAAGGATGCTGCGACAACGCCGCTACGCCTACGCTACGATGCACAATATCAGCAACCGTGGCTGCTATGGTGGGCGGGCGGAAGTGGCAGCAGACGAAGCGGCTCTTGTCTGAAATGCAAAGTTGCCTTCCATTATTCATAATTTTAAATACCTCCACTTTCTTCACCCCTCGATTATTATTTATTTTCTGTGCAAAACGATATGAGCATTATTATTTCTAGGGAGTTAATTTACAACTCTTTTTATTTTCTTCTGAAATGTAGTTTTCGTGCATGGCAAAAGGGGGCGCATGGCGAACCACCCTATGCAGAAAGCGTGGCAGTAATATCCTGGCCGCGAAATCCGCGGCATCTGATTCGATTTTGATTGTTTATAAGTCGCATCGTTGTATAAGTCGCACCAACAAAAAAAACGCGATTTATACACTAAAAAATACGGTAGGTCTTTTGATGAGATTGCTAGAAAAATTTTGAATGTATTCGAAAGTGTACATAAGCATTTGCTTGATGCCAATGCCAAAAGACACGCAGTTTCCCAGTGTATTGTGTCAGTGTGATAAGCACAATTACGTAGTAGTATGAAAATGCTGATAATGAATAAGTTCATTCATTTCCATGTCCGAATCTCCCAGTTTTTCACTTTTTGAATGCCCAGTGAACCTGTAAAATCTCTTGTAGTTGCTTCAGGCATAATTCCATGTGCCTAAAATGTGTATCAATGTAAAAATTGCTAATGAAATTGATGATACTCGTAAACACATACGAAACAAAATCACGATTTGTCAGCCTTAAGATTAACGGCTCCCTTGGCTTGCTGCTGCATTGATATGTTGACATGAATAGGTTGTTTTCTCATTTTGACGGTGATCTTATGCAACAGATTGAGCTTTTGAAGTGGCATGATTTGTTTCTTTTTTTTTTTGGTTAATATAGTCTAGATTGTGTTGTAAGAATGCCTGTCTATACTCTGCGACAACCTTTTTTAACAGCACTGTGAAAGCTACAGAAACTAAGCGAATGCCTGCTACTGTCAAAAAATAATAGTACTCCTGTTTACTGACAATTTCTCATTTTGCTTTGCTGAAATAAATGCTGCTTTATCACTTATGAGACTCAGACAGTTGCAGAATGTTATAGGTAAAATACAGTTGTTGTTCACTTTGCAAGATTGCCTTCCTTTTCTTTGCATTTCTTAGCAAGCACCACCTTTACAGCACACACAGTTTCCAAAGTAAACGTGGCATTTATGACATAGTGGGGCAGCGTACTGCCACAAACGTGCTTTTTGATTCTCTATTGAAAAATTTATTCGTAACTATGGAAATGTTTCTCTCATTTACATTTTCGTATATCTCATTTTCAAAAAGTGTTAACAATGCAAGCAAGCTAAACTAAAATGAACCGCAACCTGCTTCACCACTTGAGGAGCAACACTAATGTACGAAAGCTCCACCTCCATAGGTTTCGCTCCAATGTCAAGATAAGTTGTCGCCGAATACAGCAACCTTCAAATATGGGCCTGTGTAACTGGAGAGTGTTGCGAAAATGCTAACATTTGAACACTTGGCAACCAAAAGTAACACAGAGGATCGGGGCAAAATGCAGGAGATGATAATGGAGGTCGTGTTGGCGTAATGGTATCTATACATTTATATGCGTTTTTTTTTTTTTTACCATATAGGCAACTTGGCACTGTCAAGAGCCCTCGGAGATTTTGTCTTCAAGAAGAATGAAAAGAAATCTCCCGAAGAGCAAATAGTCACTGGTGAGAGCTTTCATGTACCCTAAATGTTTTTAGAAAAGCCGTCTGGCGCAACTTGTGAGACAGCACGTTCTCAGTGTTCTTAGTGCCATATTAACATGATTTTGTACTTTCAGCTTACCCAGATGTGATTGTGAAGGACCTTACACCCGACCATGAGTTTATACTGCTGGCTTGTGATGGGATCTGGGATGTACTTTCCAATGAAGAGGTGGTTGAGTTCGTACGTGCCCGAGTAGCGGCCAAAATGGAACCAGAACAGGTGTGGTATTAGTATACCGTACTTACTTGATTCTACCGCGCCCTCGATTGTAACGCGCACCCGGTTTCCACGACGAAAAAAAAAAGTAAGACATCGATTGCAACGCACACCCATTTTTCTCGTTGGCCCACACGATCACACCACTCGGGAAAAAGACTTCTTTCGGGAGCGTCTTCGGTTTAAATATGAGGTACGGGGGAAGCTTGTGCCTATCTGACATGCAACGAAGCATCGGCGTCACTCCAATTTTACCGTGGCCCGATGTCAGCACGCGAACTTGCTTCGCCCCCTTCTCGACGGTTGTGGTGCCAGGCATGTCGAAGTAAAGAGGCGTCTGATCGGCATTCCCGATTTGCCCAAGCAGGGAGCCGTTGTTTTGCCGCAAGTTTAGGACGAACCTCTGAAAACTGAAGCTTTTCTTCGTACTCCTCCGGCAACTTTTGGCATGTGCCCGTTCGCCTTCAGAGGGAAAAGCCTTTCCTCTTCACAAAGTTAGTTAGCCAGAACCTGCTCGCTTTAAACTGGCTCCGCATCAGCCCTTTTTCTAGGCTAACTGCATAGCCTGCACTTGGAGCAGTTCTGTCGTCACGGGCCGCTGTGCCGCTCACTGCTCAATCACATACTCGCCGAGCAGCTCTTCAATTTGCGGAAACCGACCCTGCTGTGGTCTACTGAAGCCTTTGCGTGAATATTTGCTGTCAACAATATTCTGCTTTTGTTTCCGCCAGTCCCGCACGCACGTTTTGGCAACTCCGAACGACCGCGATGCAGCCCGATTTACGTCCGTTTCGGCAGATGCGTTGACTTTTTTTTTAAAAGCGGCATCGGGGTGCACTCGTCCAGTTTTTGGAGTCGGCCCTTCCATGCCGTCGATGCTAATGCAGACTAAGATGACGAACTCCTCAGCACAGGTACGAAGTGCCGCACATGGGAAACACATAGGCAGAAATGGCCGACGCACGTAGGGGGCGGCCATTTTGGAATGCCGATGGCAATAGAATGACCGTATTCATTTTTTTCGTACTCGATTCTAACGCGCATCCGATTTATGAACTCGCTTAATCGGAAAAAAGTGCTCGTTAGATTCGAATAATTACGGTATCATTCGCACACTGTTAGCACAAGCTTGTCCTGCCTTTACTCGGGCGTTTGTTTGGATGCTATATTGTCTGCTTAACTGCTAGGCATGTTGAAGACAGGTCCACTGCAACTCTTTATATAAAGAACAGGGATGTTAAAATTTTTTCCGTGTTTTCTAACTTGCACCCTTCTGTAGTTAAGCTGTGGGCTATCGTAACTGGAAGTCTTCTACGCACACAAGTTTTTGATCAAGTTATAATGTGCCTCTAATGGCTCTTTGTTTGCACTTGTAATCACATGATGAGAAAATTTGTTTACTTATTGAGGTTCATGGTGGGTCATTTTGAGCAACAGACTGGATTCCAAAAGTGGGCTAGTGCATGAAGGGGAGGCGGGAAGTTCAGTGGACAGAGGCGTTAAATTTGCGAGGATAACTAAGTTCACGACCAGGTTGAGTGGCAAAAACATGGAAGAGGCCTCTTAGGGGCGAAGCTCCTTAGAAGGGGTCGAGCCATGTCCCCTGTCCGTCGGCGTTACATACTATAGATAGCCATATGGATATATACATGGGTATTCGTATCCACCGTAAAAACCGAAATATAGGTCCCCCCCCAAACTGTGAATCTCCGAAAAAGAAAATTTTAAAAATCACAAAAGTATTGCAGCGCGCTCTTATTTTGGTAAATATGCTACACAATCGGCTGCACTATGGTGACATTTCTTTTTATTTGGGCACTAATCTTATGTAGTAAAATGCCAGAAGACCACAAAGTGCTGTCACTCGGACTCGTGCAAACTTGAGTCTGACGACCTCTGTTTTTCATTAGTGCATCTGTTTTCACTGTTTTTCGCAGAGTGCATCGTTGTTCGTTTCATCCAATGCGTTACTGACGCAGAAATTGCGGAAAGACAGAAGTACGCCGCCTGAGCGCGAAGCCCTTGCGCTTCATAAATTGGTGCAGTCATGATGGCGATGCTTTGAATTGCACTCTGTCTCTAGAGCTTTCACGCAAACGCACTCCGCTGCTACAGGTAGCGACCTTGCACACAGCTCCCAGACGAATTCGGCGTGTACGGTTTCCAGTTCGGGGCGCACTGCTGTCCGCCCATAAAACAATGATTTTTTTTTTTTTTTCCCCCCCGAGATGTGATGCGCTACTTTTCGCTCTTCCAGTATCGGACGCTTTTTTCCGGTCCACCACCGATTTCCCTTTGTGCCGCCAGGTTGCCTTGCATTTTGGTATACTCGGTGACTTTTTTCTTGAAGCCTATTGTAAACTGCTGTCAACTACCACTTATTCCAGAAGGAAATAGAAAAAAGAAAACAGCGACTGACAGTGGATAACCGAGGTGAAATTGCGTTGCTAGAAAACTGTTGGCCTTGCCCAACGGCCCCGCTGCTGATGCTCACAGTAGCGATGGAAGCTTTCGACTTCAGCTGCCCATTGTTGCAAAACTTCCACATTTTTTTATGCCAATGACTGATATATAAGATGAGGACAGACTTTTCATTGCATTTTTTCAAATTATACCTATATTCGGTCTTTACTGTGTATATCCATATTGATATGGACATCTCAACACTAGATGCACATTGTGGTTTATAAACAACTTTGTATATATTGTACACATGTGTTGTCTAGTGGGCTATGTACGGAGGTTCATGATCCTCCAGAGCTTTGCCCACTCGTCATCATTCACTTTGTGGATATGCTGAGATTTTTACCCTGTGGTGGCCATGGTCAGGCTAATGATGACAATGATTATGTTAAGTGATTGCACATTATGTACAGCAAAAAGCTTTTTTCGGTGAAAAAGTAGACAGCTGTCTCATTTTTATACCATATCTATGGAACGAATGGGCTTACGTGTAATTGGTTTCTCATTTGCTATGTGCCAGATCTGTGAAGAGCTGATGACTCGCTGCCTGGCACCCGACTGCCAGATGGGGGGCCTAGGTTGCGACAACATGACCGTCGTGCTGGTCTGTCTGCTAAACGGGGCACCGTACGAGGAGTTGGCACGTCGTTGCGCTCGGCCCCCGCTACCATGCCCACCTTCGCCGCCCGCGAGCCCTCGGGAAGGTTACCACTTTGACCACGAGGTGACCGCATCGGTGGGCAGCGAGTTGCAGATCGACGCACACAGGCAGGGAGACACGGCCGAGGAGAACAAGCTGCCGCAAGAGCAGCAGATGACGGAGGAGCAGACGACGTCCCCGACGCCTCCCACTCCTCCAACATCTACGTCGCCTCTGAGAGAGAGTGGTGGCGAAATGGCGGTGGCATGATGTGTATTGGTGCCCGCAATGGAACACTTAGGAAAGCTATCCTCGCACTTGTCTCTTTTGAATACATTTTTTTTTTTTCCACTTTCTTCCTAATTCTCGGGCTCTCACGAAAGAGAGGGGCAAAGTTTGTGCCGTGTCGATGCATCGTGGTACCAGTTGTGTACAGAGTGTACAAAAGTCTGCTCACTCTGGGTATGTGACCTGTGGCCACCGGTGACTCGCTGTCCTGTAACTGCCTAGTGGGAATTTTGCTGTCATGGTCACTTCAGTGCAGCAGTTCTTCGGGAGAAGTTAGCAGGTGCAGTACGGCATAATTGCACGAAATTGACCCCTCTTTGTCAGAGCCATTAACTTTATTTTTTTACTTTTGTGCAGAGTAAGGACTTAAGGACATTACTGCAGGCTTAGCAATTTGTGCAATGCAAGTTTGTCACATTCATGTTGCATTCATGCCTTTATTATTTTTTTTTTAAGAGCCATCACTGGCAAGCCATAGCAGCCAAAACCGAAATTGACCCTTCTGTACATTCACTCGTTCTGAGGTGACTGTCCTCATGTTGGGTAGTCAACATCCGATGCCCAGGCGTAAAGATTTAGCAGCACAGATTTGTCATGAGGAACACAGTTAGGAGAAAACAGGCCGCATTTTGGGCAGTGTTTCTAATTGGCAGTGCATTGTTGTTGGTTTTTTTTTTTTTTTTTTTTTTTTGAACGCCACTCGCTAGCGTTATTTAGGCGTGACATTTTATGCACCACTGTTACATGTGCGTTCCTGGCTGCTGTGGAATGCAGTGCCCCCACTTTTTTTTTGAGAAGCTCAGGAGCATGAGAAAGGTAGAAGTGCGATTAAATTTGGGCCTTGAGCTGCTGCCAGCAACTTTCCATTGTTGTTTGTTATTGTTGTTCAGTAGCAGGCATTGTGTGTTGGAAGAACCGACTCTAATAGGCCTGAACGTTTTTTATTTTTGCTGTCGTGTTTGTGTAATGTAGATATAAAAAGAAAGTACATCAGCTCTGTACGAGCATGCCTGTTGTTCTGTTACCTGGATGCAGAAGAAAAAGTATACATACCTGTATATAAGCACATGTTTTATATGAGCGAGCAACAGTGTTACTCAAAATCCAGTCAACTGTAAATATTCTGAGATTCCCCGAATCAGTTATACATCTTTACACTTCTGTTTTGTGTGATTGTGAGAGCACTCACAGATGGAATCAATCACCCATTTTTACACAGAATAAAAAAAGAGCTGTGCACAAAATTACAGTGACATGTGTTTTGGGTGATTCAGTACCTCTGTTCAAAAGTTATTGTAGTTTATATTACAGCAGCCCCCTCCGTTATTTTATTTCTTTTCTGATGTTAGATGTTACTTGCAATGCCTAGACAGTCATCGAGGGGGTGCTGTCTTTCTTCAAGGCGCTTACATTTTATTTACTGAAACAAAAACCTCTCACTTTCTTTATGCAGTTTGTCTTTTATGAGTCTTATTGAATAGGCATACTAATAAAAGTGTGACTGAATGGTGCATGTCTTGTTCATTTTTCTGGCCATTGTGCCTCAGAACATGACGTTCTGGTATTCGAGCAGCGTTCTTTTTCTTTTTTTTTTCATTTGGTCGGAAGAATGACATGTGGATTTTGCATAATTGGCTAGTTAGGTGCGCATACTTTATACCCTACCTAATTTTGTCAGCTTTTTGGTTATTGCCGCTGCACACTGTCATTGTGCTGTGCTGCCAAGCAATGTTACCGTGGTGAAGGACTGCAGATAAAACGAATACCAACAATAATTTAATGTAGAGAGCATGCTCCTCTGGCGTCTGCAAACTACACCTCTCTCGCCTGAACCCACGTCTGCGCTAAAGCCGCACAAACCAGTTGCATCCAAGACGCAAGAAGAGTGGAATCTCTGCAGCTGACCTTTGGGCCACTCCTTAACAACCTAGCCAAAAGAAATACATTTTTGTTCTCGTCTCATGAGAGCATGCTTACGGAGCTTGTGCAATCTCTTTCATGTTGCACATTGTTCAATATCCAAAAATGTTAGACTTCATGAGAGCTAAACAAGGAGGCCATAAAGTGCTATCCTATTTGCTACCGAAACGCCACTGTAAGGAGAATGGAAGTTAAATTATTGTGAGCATTAGAAGATGCACGGCAGGCACTGGAACCGACCAGTGAGAGGCCTCTCACCTCGAAATGCCCAGAAAAATGTATGTACAAGCTTTGGAGCTCCCATGAAATTTATTTGCAGATTATTGCAGGCCCATGCAGGTGAAGTAAAATTGTAGAACAAGCAGAGAAAAGTAACAAAGAAACACTCTTCATTTAGAAATTCGCATAAAATATTCAGTTTGTCTACAAAGTCAGTACTCTTTAGCAATGATAATTGAAGGGCATTTTATTAATCTAGTATGGGGGAAAATTCTCAATATTAAACAGTTGCAGCAACTTAAAAAAGAATGGCTAAGTTTGGACTGCGTTGCAAGCCTTGAAAAACATTGCAACTGAACGATTCTGATCGGGCAGCTCCTAGGCTTTAGCTAGGTGATGGTATGTTGTTTCTATGTTGGTTCTTACCAGGGAGAGCTTACAGCTAAACCACCCATAGACTAAACACAGATGTCCAACTCCAGAGACGAACTCTCGCTAAAACCACGCATTTGCACCTCGTACTGTCACAGATGCGACATAGATGTCTCCAACCAGAGGCGAACTGTCGTTGAAACCAAGCGTTTGTGCATCTCGTAGATCTGCGTGCACGTTTTCGTTGGCATAGACCTTCACTTGCTTCGAGGTTTCTCAGCCACTGTTGCCTTCACCATACCCTAGCGTTAGGCAAACTGTTGTCTTCCTCTTTAGTGGACCTTCGGGGGATTTACACCATTTTTGTAGCATGTACCTGTTTACAATAATGATAGTTTCACGAAGCTGCCGTTGCATTTCCCTAGTGCTGGGCAAACTGTTGCCTCCTCCTCCTTTAGTGGGTCAGTGGTGAGAAATGGGACTTATTAAACTTAATATCTATGGGGCATACCCGTTCATAAATCGGGATATGGCACACATTTTACAGCAGCTTAAAAAGGCTTTGCTCTTAAAATCCCATGAAATCCCATGCATTTTCACACAGAGGATACAACCAAAGTACTTCGCTTGTCTCCATACAAAGTTTTCAGTGAACCTTAGATCAGTATTTCAGAGTTCGATATATCTTCGTTTCAGTTGCTTTTAGGGTCGAAGCTCCTCTTAATCTAATCTTGTCACGCGTAACAGCCCAGGCGGGCAGAGACAGACGAATGGACAGACAGATGCTTCGCCCCACTCATCATAATTCACTCAGTGGATATGCTGTATTTTTTTTATGGAACCACTTTGGTTTCAGCAATTGGAAGATGAGTGTGTCAAGTCACAACATAGGAAGTGGTCACATCGACAAATTATAATATAATGGTATTACTTGGTCACTTGCTATGATGCAACTTTTTGCAGTGCCTGATGTAGCAGCTACCAGCCAACATGCGAGCCAGTGTGAGTGCTAACACACCATAGTATCCTGCTCCCAAGTGTCCACCTTCTGCATTATCATGACGGAGCATACAACTGGTAGCGAGAAACTGAAGATTGCTGCCCTCTGTGACTGCACCAGTTTGTCTGTCAATTCATGTAGTATTCTGACTTCTATAATTCTTAGAATAAAAGTGCCATACTTTGCGGGAATCAGGGCTAGCCCACCGCCTCTTTCTGAGTTCTCATGTCCTGACATGACTCTCCTCTCCTTCGTGGTCTGCCACGCTGAGGGAGCGGGAAGTGACGTTTAACCTCTCTCATACGGTAGCGGATGTCGACTGTGGCGCCGTACGCGGCGTCGCTCGGGATGTTTCGCGCGACATGGGGTAAGCACTGTTGGGACTCCGGGTCCTGCCGGTCTCGTTTTCGGTAGCTGGCCCCGTCGCAGGATCCATCGTCCAACAATTCAGCGAGAAGAAGCGCCCGAACGAACAACAGAGATTTATTTACATGTGGAGAAGTGGTCAACTGACCCAAAGAGAGAAGAGTGCGTGCGATACAAAACGTCTTCGGCATTTTATAGCGCCACGTTGTTGACACTGGGTGCCTTGTCCGCATCGTCAGCCAATACGGTGTCGCCGGCACCTCGGCCACGAGGGAGGGGAAAACACCTCTCACAACACAAGGAGTGGCCCAACCCAACACGAGGTCCATATATGGTCCCGGCGCCCCAAAATGTTACCAAATATGGTCACGAACGCACAGCAGACCCCGTAGCTCTCCCGGCGAGGAGGAACCCGAATGGGGAGGTGGGGGTGGACGACACCGTCAGGTCAAGAACCGGTTCTCCCCCAAACTCTCCCTGCTTGGCTCCCCAGGGCCGGTCGTAACAGTCTCTCGCGCGGGGGGGGTGAAGATCTCGATGGGCTGAGGTTTGCAGCCACTGTCCGGAGAGATCAGCGCCGGCAGTCGGTTTGGTGACGACCGTCTTTGATGAAGTAGAGGGCAACACCTGCTTCATTGAGGGCTCAACAGACGTCACATACGCACATGAAAACACAACTACTCAGCCGGTGAGCGCCGGACAATTCCGCCAAACTCCACCAGGCAATTTTCCCCTTTAACTGATATTAAAGGAAATACACAATTTATTCAAAATGTTACTCACACTTTAAGGTGACACAAAACAACAACACTGGAAGCACACCGAACCCGAAACCCTGGATAGCCGTGTCTTCAACGTTTTCAAACAAGTACACCTAAAAGAGTAAAAAAAAAAAACAATCACTAGCTCTTGTCTAGGTCAGGAAAAAAAATGCCAGAGTTCTCGAGACATCCTCTCGCGTCAGGGGCATCGACTTAAGCCATCAGCGTTGCCATGGAGTACGCCCTTTTTGTAGCGTATTTCAAACGTATATTGTTGCAAAACGAGGCTCCAACGCAGCAGGCGGCCGTTCTTAGAGGACATGGTCTGTAGCCAGGTGAGAGGACAGTGGTCCACTTCCACAATGAACTTGCTTCCGGCAATATAACAAGCAAGTTTCTGGACTGCCCAAACCAAGCACGCACATTCCTTTTCGCTAGCGCTGTAAACCTGCTCGCGAGGGGTGAGTTTCCGGCCAACATAGAGGACGGGATGCTCTTGATCCCCCTCATCCCTTTGACTAAGAACTGCCCCCATGCCTCTATCACTAGCGTCGCATTGGACTATGAAAGGCCTCGAGTAGTCCGGTGAACTAAGCACAGGTTGGCTCTTAACACTCGCTCCATCCCGGAGTGAAGCTTTTCTATCGAGTTAGACTGCGGATGGTAGACGGAACTATGCAATAATTTCACGCCACACCGCTCTAGAAAGGTTGTCGTTAAAGCACTCGTGAAAATGGTGCCCTGGTCTGATTGTATCTCGGCAGGAAAGCCTACCCGGGCAAACACGGACAGAAGTGCGTTCACTACTTCCACGGAACTTAGCTCTTTTAGCGGGACCGCCTCTGGAAATTTAGTAGCTGGGCAGATTAAGGTCAGGATGTGACGGTAGCCTGAAGTTGTCTTGGGCAAAGGACCTACTGTGTCAATTACCAACCGACGAAAGGGCTCAGTGATTACGGGTGCCAGCTTCATTGGAAATTTCGCCTTATCTCCCGGCTTACCCACTCGCTGACACACATCGCAAGATTTTACAAACCTCTCTACATCTTTAAAGCATCCAGGCCAGTAGTATTCCTGTAAAAGACGATTTTTCGTCTTCTTTACGCCTAAGTGGCCTGACCATGATTCTCCATGCACCAAACTAAGCAAATCCTGACGATACGCCTGAGGTACGACTACCTGGTCAAACTCTACTCCTCGCCTATCTAGATATTTTCGATAGAGTATGCCGCTCCTCTCTTGAAATCTCACATTTCGTTTGGCGATTCCCTCTTTCGAACTGTCCTGGAATTGCTTAAGCGTCGGGTCCCCCTTTTGTTCGGTTATTAATGAAGCGGGACTCACCTGCAGCAGCCGACTGAAATTATCCGAAGTTGGCATGACACACAACTCTTTTGTATTTCCTAGTACCTGGAATGTGTCACCCTCTGTGCTATCCTCTGTACTACCAGGAATCGGCTTGGGAGCAACGGCATTTTCTATTTGCTCGGTCAACGAGGCGTAATTGACCCCTTCCAATTCGGGAGGAGGTTCATCGCCGCCTTTAGGAATGGTTGCTTCCGCGACTACGGCTTCTGCAGCCTGTTCTCGCACAAGTCGATTTGTTTCCGTGGTGTCCAACTCGCAACCAGGCCCGTTGTCGATTTGAGGCTTGTTTGCCTCAGTGAATGTTGCTCTTGCAGCCAGCGCACGTGCCTTCGATCTAGTCAGTGCCTGCACTATGCCTTCTTCCAACGTTAGACCTTTCTCCTTCAGCATTTGATCTGACTTATTTGAAAATAAGTAAGGATACTGAGGGGGTAGATATGGCGATACCGCGGCTTCCGTTTCCAACGTACCAAATGCGCCTTTAAGGACAACTTTAGCTACGGGGAG